CCCTGCTACTCCTACTTGTTAAACTGCCGTATTACAACTCAAATCACTACTACTCCTACTTGTTAAACTACCGTATTACAACTCAAATCCCTGCTACTCTTACTTGTTAAACTACCGTATTACAACTCAAATCACTACTACTCCTACTTGTTAAACTACCGTATTACAACTCAAATCCCTGCTACTCTTACTTGTTAAACTACCGTATTACAACTCAAATCACTACTACTCCTACTTGTTAAACTACCGTATTACAACTCAAATCCCTGCTACTCCTACTTGTTAATCTACCGTATTACAACTCAAATCCCTGCTACCACTACTTGTTAAACTACCGTATTACAACTCAAATCCCTACTACTCCTACTTATTAAACTACCGTATTACAACTCAAATCACTACTACTCCTACTTGTTAATCTACTGTGTTACAACTCAAATCCCTGCTACCACTACTTGTTAATCTACCGTATTACAACTCAAATCCCTGCTACTCCTACTTGTTAAACTACCGTATTACAACTCAAATCCCTGCTACTCCTACTTGTTAAACTACCGTATTACAACTCAAATCCCTGCTACCACTACTTGTTAAACTATCGTATTACAACTAAAATCCCTACTACTCCTACTTATTAAACTACCGTATTACAACTCAAATCACTACTACTCCTACTTGTTAATCTACTGTGTTACAACTCAAATCCCTGCTACCACTACTTGTTAATCTACCGTATTACAACTCAAATCCCTACTACTCCTACTTGTTAAACTACCGTATTACAACTCAAATCCCTACTACTCCTACTTGTTAATCTACCGTATTACAACTCAAATCACTACTACTCCTACTTGTTAAACTACCGTATTCCAACTCAAATCCCTGCTACCACTACTTGTTAAACTACCGTATTACAACTCAAATCCCTACTACTCCTACTTGTTAAACTACCGTATTACAACTCAAATCTCTACTACCACTACTTGTTAAACTACCGTATTACAACTCAAATCCCTGCTACTCCTACTTGTTAAACTACCGTATTACAACTCAAATCACTACTACTCCTACTTGTTAAACTACCGTATTACAACTCAAATCCCTGCTACCACTACTTGTTAATCTACCGTATTACAACTCAAATCCCTGCTACCACTACTTGTTAATCTACCGTGTTACAACTCAAATCACTACTACTCCTACTTGTTAAACTACCGTATTACAACTCAAATCACTACTACTCCTACTTGTTAAACTACCGTATTACAACTCAAATCACTACTACTCCTACTTGTTAATCTACCGTATTACAACTCAAATTCCTACTACTCCTACTTATTAATCTACCGTATTACAACTCAAATCACTACTACTCCTACTTGTTAAACTACCGTATTACAACTCAAATCACTACTACTATTACTTGTTAAACTACCTATTACAACTCAAATCCCTACTACTCCTACTTATTAAACTACCGTATTACAACTCAAATCACTACTACTCCTACTTGTTAATCTACCGTATTACAACTCAAATCCCTACTACTCCTACTTATTAAACTACCGTATTACAACTCAAATCCCTACTACTCCTACTTATTAAACTACCGTATTACAACTCAAATCACTGCTACTCCTACTTGTTAAACTACCGTATTACAACTCAAATCACTACTACTCCTACTTGTTAAACTACCGTATTACTAATCAAATCCCTACTACTCCTACTTATTAATCTACCGTATTACAACTCAAATCACTACTACTCCTACTTGTTAAACTACCGTATTACAACTCAAATCACTACTACTATTACTTGTTAAACTACCGTATTACAACTCAAATCCCTACTACTCCTACTTATTAAACTACCGTATTACAACTCAAATCACTACTACTCCTACTTGTTAAACTACCGTATTACAACTCAAATCCCTACTACTCCTACTTGTTAATCTATCGTGTTACAACTCAATAAATTCTACAACACCACCCGCCCCTCCCCCCCAGCTGTGGTTTGTGACGTCACCGCGGTTGTGTGGTGGCACGTGGAGGGGAGCAGCGAACGATGAGTGGAGGCAGCAGCTTCTGAATTGGTGAATTCGCCCAAACTTTAAACCACTGCCACGCTGCTGCTGCTGCTACTGCTGCTGCCGAAGGCTTACGGAGGCTACTATCCCGACGAGAAGAGGCTCGTGGCGACCTCGTGCACGGGCAGAAGCTCCAAGATCCGTCGCTCGCTCGACTCGGCGAGGTGCATTGTACGCGATCGGCTCCAAGTTTGTATCTCTCACCGATTATATTGGAAGCTGATTGTGAATATCGCGTAATGTTACTCCGCGTTCCTGTGCGTGACACTGGGTGCATGCGTTTGATGTTGTGGGGAGCGGTCGTGTCGTGGTTAGCGCGCTGTACTACGAACTCAGCAAACCGGGTTTCGATTCCCGCTCACGGCCAACATCGGTGACGAATATCTGAACCGGTCCTGAGCCTCCCCTAGGTCGACTCAGCCTCAAATGAGTAGCTGGTGCGGTGTGTAAACATCGCCACTGGGGAGACAAAGGCGGCCGGGCGTGGTGCTGGCCACCCACTCCCTCGTGTACCGTGCCTGCCTTCATAGGTTGCTCGCTAACAGCACTCTGTTAAGGCTATCCGGGGGATCTTTGTCTTTGTGTCTGACCGCCCTAACGAGGTGCCCGCTAACAACGCGGCCGTGTGCGCGCGTGTTGTTGTTGTTGTTGCAGGCGTGGTGGTGGTGGTGCTGAACGAGGACGACCGGGTCCCCCGCTATGGTGAGTGACGCCAAAATCGTGCACATCGCGCTGAGTGAACGCCGAGGGTGGGCGAGGGGGGTGGGGGGGGGGTCAAAGGCGCAGGCCTGCAACTTCTCACTCACGCCACTGGCGGTGGAAGAAGCCTCCTCCACTCCTGGGGGGCTCGCTCAACCCCAGAGCCCCCCTCTCACGAGAGGCAACTTTGGCCTACTCTTCCACGCTGGCCTCCTCTAGGGGGCCAGCGTGGCTTGGAGGAGGTGAGAGTTACCCACGTTTTACCCCACCACGCACACGATCGAACGGTAACGACGTTTTGCTATTGGTGATTAAATGAATGATTTAAAAAAAAACACAATAAATTGGCAGCAATTGTTTCAAACTGCCGCGTCAAGGAGATCGAACCGAACGGGCAATGGTGATGGTGCATTCACCATCACTATTAAGATCACCATTACCATCACCATTACCATCACTATTAACATCACTATTAAGATCACCATTACCATCACCATTACCATCACTATTAACATCACTATTAACATCACCATTACCATCACCATTACCATCACCATCACAACCATCCACGGAATTTCTATCGCTGCATCGAGACTGCGTCCTTTGTTTCACCACCACGCGCGTGACGACAGCCGATTGCCCGCACCTCCGATTGGCGCGGTCGGCTACGTACGGTGCGAAAGAAGTTCAACGCGCGTGCGTGCGTCGCGTTATCCGCGGTGTTTATGCTACCCCCAAAACCACGCAGGAAAGCACGTACATACAAAGACAAAGATCCCCTGTATAGCCTGAACAGGCTGTTGGGGTAAGTGCTGTTAGCGAGCACCTATGAAGACCGGCACGGCACACGAGGGGGTGGGTGGCCAATACCAGGCCCGGCCGCCTTTGTCTCCTCGATTGGCGGTGTTTACACACCGCACCGGGTACTCATTTGAGGCTGAGTCGACCTCTATGAACGCGCGTACACAATAACACTGGTTTTAGACTAATTTCAGGGTGCTGATTCCAAATCTGATCTCAGATTTGCTCTATCACATCTTATTTTTATGCTATCGGCATACCCCATTTTCATTGATTTTACCAGAAATTAACTCTGTCACTTATAATTGCAAGTTGTTGCGAGTCAGTGACTGCTTTAGGGTTGAAATATGGTGCTGTATTTTTAGGATAGTGTGTTTATAATATCATTTTATGTAGATATCCACATTTATTTAATATTTTTCTTCTGCAGTTTTTATTGAAAATGCAATATTCGATATCTCAAAAACCTGATGTGATAGACAAAAACTGATGCCAGATTTGGAATCAGCACCCCAAAATTACCTTAAACCCGTTGGAATACCTTATGCCAGAAAAAGTGTGGTGACCAGTGTAATTTAGCGGTGATTGTGGATACACTTAAGTGAGAGAGCTCACACGTAACCTGATCTATTGACGCCTCCTTCACAAATGTGTCGCTCCAAAATACCGAAATAAAATACAGAACCCGATTATGTAATTATGCTGAAGGAATCCGATGAGCTATAAAGTTCCCAATGTCCCGTGGGTGCAGATGTGAAATACACATCCCATCGGCCACACGAAACTCTCTCTGTCTCTCTCTCTCTGTGAGTGCTTCTCTGATTGATTCGTTCTAGAAGTGCGTCTGAGCTCACTGAAGGCGCCTTTGCTACCAGTACAACACAAGCATCACTTAACGATGAAATCGGCTTTGACATTCGGTCTCTCATCAGCGGCGTCGCGTGAACCGATGTCGTGGAAGGAACTAAGCCCAGAATTTTGACCGCCAAAAAAAACTGCATAACACACACACACCATAAAACTCTTAGCTCTTCGTCGCGTTCACGTCGTTATAATCGTGATTCATTTGCGATGATAATGAATTTACAATTGTAAGTGATGGTCATTGATTATATTGTGTTGCTTGTATTTGCCAGCAGGGCTCTTAGTGATCGTTTTTCGTCGTGTGCGAATAACGAGTGGCATTGGATGATTAGAGAAGGCGACTGCAAATTTGAATATTTTATTTGGAGGGAACAGAGTTCATGGATGTGAGCATTTTCACGTTGTTGGTAGAATTATATTTGTATCATCATTTATTTAAGTTGTATTACGAGATTTGTCCATTAATTAAAATTCATTTATATTATTATTATTATGAGATCAAACGACTACGTAGTTGTATATTTTATACGGAAGAACAGAGCTAATGGCTGTGAGCATTTACATGTTCTTGGTTTGAATTATATATAATTTATTACCACTTATAGAAGCATTATTTAGGGATTAGTCCATTAATTAAAATGCATTTTATTATTATGTTGTCTATTTTATATAGAGGGACAGAGTTAACGGATGCGAGCATTTAATATCCTTTGTAGAATTATTTTTATTCGCAATTATTGAAGCTTTATTGCGGGATAAGTCCATTCATTAAAATGCATTTGTATTATTAAAGGTTAAGCAAAGCAGCCCACCCTTGATATTTCACATAAAAAAAATGTGGTGCACGAACTACAACAACCAACCCACACACACGTGCCGTGTCGGCGCGCAGCCTTTACAATACAAACAAGATCGATGCAGCGGGCAACGTTTCAGGCAACGGTCCTTTCTCAGTAACGATGACAAAGAACACGTCCCGATGTATAACGCGCGCAGGACACAAACCGTAGCGGGCCACAAAGTGATCACAACCAACGTGTTCATAATGCCAACAACAACAACACGAATTTAACTATTGTCCGTTGACAACTTTGACGGTCGATTTAAAGCTTTCGTGACTGCAGACTCTGTCTTCTCGACAGACCTGTTGTTCACCCGAGAACGGCTGCTTGCGTTGTGGCCGAAACGTCGTGATAATTATTTTATTATGTTTTATTTTTATTATTTTATTATTTCCATTCTACGTGCTGTTTATTGCTCACCACTCGGCGTTTTGGGGTAATTTGCTACCACTACCATTTGATATTTGACCAGGTACGGTCCCACTGAGCTGCTATGTAGCTCTTATTCAGAAGCGACCCTGGCCACCACAAATGATAGCTCAACGAGGTGGGCTCATCGTCATCATAATAATAATAGTACAATTTGTAACGCGCGCAAATTTGCAGACGTAGTGGCCGCAACTCATCATCGTCATCATCGTCATCATCATCGTCGTCATAATCGTTATCATCATCGTCATTATCATCGTCATCATCGTCCAGGCGAGGTAGTTAACATCCCCTAGCCACCGTGATGATGACGAGAGAGAGAGAGACTGCAAACTCCAAATATACAGCAGGCGTCAGGGTCGGGATCGAACCCACGACCTCCTGCATACCAGGCGAGGTTGTTAACATCTCCTAGCCACCGTGATGATGATGATGAGAGAGAGATGCCAACTCCAAATATACAGCAGGCGTCAGAATCGGAATCGGACCGATGACCTCCTGTAAACCAGGCGAGGTAGTTAACATCTCCTAGCCACCGTGATGATGATGATGGGAGAGAGAGACGCAAACTCCAAATATACAGCTGGTGTCAGGGTCAGGATCGGACCCACGACCTCTTGTATACCAGGCGAGGTAGTTAACATCTCCTAGCCACCGTGATGATGATGATGAGAGAGAGAGACGGCAACTCCAAATATACAGCAGCAGGCGTCATAATCAGAATCGAACCCACGACCTCCTGTAAACCAGGCGAGGTAGTTAACGCTCGCCCGCTCTAGACGGCGCAGAGCCTCGTCAGTGACTCTGAGCGCGACATCCGTGCAGGAGAGGAGGGCGCTGAGAGAGATATCACGTGTGCGGCTTTCACCACCAATGTTATGGTTCATAATTGATGGGGTGGTAGTGGGGGGGGGTGAGTGAAGGGGCTGATCGGGAGACGCTAAGTGCCCCCCCCCCTCCTCCTCTGCCGTGGCTCTACACAGAACGTAGTCGGGGCCACAACTGCACAACATCGGCCACGCGAATTAGAGAAATTTATTTGCGAAATTCACGACGAAATAAACGCGGTGGTTCTTCTTATTCTTCTTCACCTGGGGCTGCACGCTGCACCCCCAGGGGGTGCGAGATGTCCCTTTCTGGGGGCTGGCGAGACGTGGCCAGATTTTGTTTTTTAGGTCAATCATCGCAAATACTAATTGAGCGCGGCGCATGTAAGTTGCAAATTCACTTTGTTTCATCAAACCCCTACGTAGTTTCAATTTAAAGCTTTCGTGACTGCAGAGATTTATATTCTTGGTTCTTTCGGTAAAGTCACGTAGAAGGGAAATAATAAAATAATAATAAAATTACTTTTTTTAATTATTTCCCTTCTACGTGACTTTACCGAAAGAACCAAGAATATGAATCTCTACGTAGTTCATCTTCTTGGTTCTTTCGGTAAAGTCACGTAGAAGGGAATAATAAAATAATAAAAATACAACATTATAAAATAATATATAATGTTTTATTATATTATTTTATTATTTCCCTTCTACGTGACTTTACCGAAAGAACCAAGAAGATGAATCCCTGCAGTCACGAAGCTTTAAATGGAAATTTACCCTACGTAGTTATGAATATCGTAAAATGTTGTACCGACTGAGAACGAAAGACTGCGGTGAAGGTTAAGAAGCACTGATGTAGATTGTTGTTGTTGTTGCCTCTGTTAATGTTTTGTGGGGTGGGTGTTGTGGGGTGGATGGGCGAGTGGGGGGCGGCAGATGGGTGGAAACGTTTTGTTGATTTGTTTTAGCTGCGCGTGTGTTTGCTCCGACAAAAACAACAACAAAAATGTAAAACCGCGTGAAAACAAAGCAAAGTAAACACGACGCAACCAAAATAGATTTTAAAAAATTTCCAGCGGAAATAAAAACAATCTTACCAGAGATTTTTTTTCCCCTGAACTAAATTCCACGTAAATCTGGATGTAATATTCAAAGTTTCGCTTTAATCATTACAGCCAATTCTGCGGCCGTCTGGAACGCTCTGCCTTTGGATATCAGGAAGCCCACTGGGAGCGATACACTTGTTAAACATCTATATTGACATGATAATTGTTTTTTTACCCTTCTATCAGGGAACAAAACTGACACCTTTTTTTACAAGGAGTCATGTTTACATAGATCACAATACCTGCAGTCATAATGCAAACAAAAAACATAACTCTGATAATGTGCACTGTCCTTGAAGTTGATTGGTCCACACCCGAGACAGCTTTCCTTAGAGCCTAGTCTCACATGGGTTAGACCAGATGACTGCAGGTATTGTGGTCTATGTAAACATGACTCCTTGTAAAAAGGTGTCAGTTTTGTTGCCAGATAGAAGGGTAAAAAAAACAATTATCATATTTTTACTGGAAAATGAGGTTCCAATGATCTATATTGACAAACACATTTTTTTAGAACTGCTTTTGGTGCGTTTATTTTGTTGTACTTGCGCCACGCACCTCCGATTCAGCACGGTTGGCTGCGTACGGTGCGAAAGAGGTTCAACGCGCACACACTACACTATACACTACAATTCAGCACCCTAGGCTTTCGTGACCAACGTTATGATTAAAAAAAAATGTTCTAGGTCAGATCGCGTCAATGAAATGTCTGTCGTTAAAAACCCTCCTTCGCCCGACACTGCCAATTAATAAAGCTGTCACGTGGTGAACAAACGTGCTAATTTATTAATGTGCTGTATCGGGTGGTGGAGGGTGAAACGACACACAAGGTGTGATCTTACCCCCCCCTCTCCCCGCCCAAAAATAATTTTACTTCTAAATCGTAAACAAATATTCATGATTCGTAATTAGATTTGGAATGGGATTTCATTTTAAAATCTCGCTCGCTTTTCAACTGTAACCGGTTCTGGCGAAAAAACCCGAGCTAGTGGGCCTTACTTGGTAAACTAAAACATAGTTTAGTTTAGACTTGACAAGCTTGACGAACTTTAAACCGACTGGACTGGATGAGACGAAGCGGCCAGTCTCGAGAAGTCGAAAGGCAATCAGACACATTCGAGCTTTGAAGCTTTCGTGACTGCAAGGAATCATACTCTTGGGTGTTTTCGGTAAAGTCACGTAGGAAAAAAATAAAAAAAAATCCTCTCTCTTTACTTGATACAGCAATCGTGCTGTGACGGTTCCACCTGAAGACGGAAGCTTGTGTTTCCTCCGAAACGTCGTGATTTTTATTTTACTTTATTTATTTTTTTTTTACCTACGTGACTTTACCGAAAAAACCTAAGAGTATGAATCAGACACATTTCAGAAAAATCTGTAGAGAAAGGCAAAACATCCACACTCACCACCAGACCTGGCTCCCAGTTCCTTCCACGTGTCTCGCAGTTCCAGCACGTGTCACAGCAGCAGAACGTGTCTCGCCGTGTCTCTCAGCAGCTCAGAGACTAGCTCGCTCACTCGCTCGCTGGAGACACAGCGACAAAAGCTTCAGAGCGTCGAGTGGAGGTGTCCCAATGAGGCGATGATGGCGATTCTGATGCTGACGATGACGATGATCACGGTGCTGACGATGATGCTGATGAATTGAAATCTGATTACGGTGACGACGTCGATGATGATAACGGCAACGATTCCAGCCTCGCCGCTGTATCGTGACGACGATCCCCGCAAGAAAGGTGGCGACGATGACGACGACGATGATGACGACGACGATGGTGACGACGACGACGATGACAGAGAACCGAGTGCCTTGGAGTCCGTGGCGGAGGGACAGAACTCAGACTCAGCGGCTCCCTCTCCCCTTCTCTATCTTTTTTTAAAAACACATTTTTAAAAATAATGCTAATATTTAAAATAAAGATATTTTTATCACTCTCTCTACCAATCTCTTTCTCCCTCTCTATCTTTTTTGTTTTTTTTACACATTTTTTTTCAATAATGGTAATACTATTTAAAACAAATAGATTTTGTATCACTCTCTCCCCCCCTCTCTCTTCCTCCCTCTCCCCCTCTCTCTCTATCTCTCTAGTTTTTTAAAACATTTTTTTAAAAATAATAGTAATAATATTTGAAACAAATAGATTTTGTATCACTCTCTCCCCCCTCTCTCTTCCTCTCTCTCCCCCTCTCTCTCTAGTTTTTTTAAAACAATTTTTTAAAAATAATAGTAATAATATTTGAAACAAATAGATTTTGTATCACTCTCTCCCCCCTCTCTCTTCCTCTCTCTCTCCCGACGACTGAAACGGCCGCTGCTTAATGGCAAAGGGGCCTTCCGAACCAAAGGAGGTCGTTCCCACGACCCACAGCGACTCACGGCGCCGGGTTAATTACGTTTTATTCCCACGGCTGGTGACTCCGTCGTTCCAACGAAAGCGGGCCGAGTGATACGGGGAATCCGGGACGCGCCGCGGTCAGATTTCGCCGATTTCACAGAACTCGGTTCAACGACACAAAACTGGTTTCGACCATTACGCGGCGCACACCTACTTACCTGCCTTTCCCACACACACACACACACCCACCGTGTTCACACGAGCACACATATTTACATGAACAGGGGCTACTGGCGTAAATTTCCGACGATTTCAAATCGATTAATCGCAATTTTAAACAATGCGATTAGCAAATCTCAAAGATGTTTTTGCGATTTGAAAAGTCCATTTACTTTCTTATTGGGATTGCTTTATTTTTTATTCTTATTATAACTTTATGTATTTAACTTAACAACTGTTCTATGTTTGATTATTCAATTTCAATTAAACATTTAATAAATACATGTTGGAAGCAATTCATATATGTTAATTTCTCACCCTTGCATTAGAATCAGACGTCGCAATCGGATACCCGATACCCGTACCCTACCCGATACCCGGCTACCCGTACCCGTCTGGGTACGGGTACCCGTTTGCGACCCTGGTGCGGCCGGGTACGGGTAGGCCGTGAGTCACTGGTGAGTAACCGTTTGTCACTCATTTCCCAACGTCTTGTCTCTTCTCACAATTCAAGTTCCTGGAATCAACCCACCCGCGCCTGCAACATGGCTTCATCCCAGAGGTCGCAATCAGGTACCCGATACCCGTGCCCTACCCAGCTGGGTACGGGTAGGGCACGGGTATCGGGTACCTGATTGCGACCCTGGTGCGGCCGGGTACGGGTACGGGTAAGGAATCAAAACCCGTTTACGACCTCTGATGAGAATGTCTAGAGCAGTTCGTATCTTGATGGTATAACGTGGTAATGCTCCATCACGTGTTTTAAATCTAATACACAGCGAATCAAATCTCAGTAAGTGTCAAGAAAAATCGCAATTTAGATAATGTACCCCAAATTGTTTGATTGTTCTATTTCAATTAAAACATTTTAATAAATCCACGTTGGAAGCAATTCATATATTTTAAGTTAGCACCCTTGCATTAGAATATATAGAGCGGTTCATACGTTGATGGTGTCACGTGGTAATGCTCCATCGCGTGTTTGAAATCTATGATACAGCGAATATTGAACTGAAACACCGCAAATGAAATCGCAAAAAGTGTCAAGAAAAATCTCAACTAGATCATATCCCCAACTAGATCATGTCCCCAAAATCGTTCATCCCTAACCCCACCCCACCCCCACCCCCTATCTCTGAATCAAGGCGGACGACGACGAATTCGACCCCAACTACTCATACGACGACGACGACAACTCCACAGAGTTACCGAACAACCTCCTGGCCGCAATCATCGACGTCCCGGCGTGCACGGGCTGGCTTCAAGACTCGGCCATGAGCCTCGTTCCCATCGTGTACGCGGCCGTGGCGCTCGCCGGGATCGCGGGCCACCTCCCGCTGCTGCTGGTGCTCGCACGAGGACCACGCACCAGCACGCGTCTGCACCTGCTGCACCTCGCCGCTTGCGATGTCCTCTTCCTCGCCATGCTGCCCGTGCAGGCGGCGATGCGCGGCGCGGAGCGGTGGAGCCACGGGGAGGTTTGCTGCAGGTGAGGAAGGGTCGGTCGGTCGGTTGGCACGGTCGGATACATACGGTGCGAAAGAAGTTCGGCGCACGTGCGTTGCGTGATGCGCGGGTGTTTCTGCCGGCCTTCATAGGTGCCGCTCGCTAACAGCACTTGCCCCAACAGGCTATGCGGGCGATCTGTGTCTTTGTACCCTCCTTGGCTCGCGTGATGCAGCGGAGGGGGGGGGTACGTTGAACTTCTTCCGCACCGTACGTAGCCAAATTGGGTGTGGACCGCTAACCTGGCCGTAGTCACCCTGAGTCAACCCTCCTCCTCCCTCCCCCCTCCCTCCTCCCTCCCTCCTCCACCCTCCTACCCGCTCCCTCCTCCTCCCTCCTCCTTTCCTCCTCCTCCACCCTCCCTCCCTCTTCCATCCCTTCCCCCTCCCTCCCTCCCTCTACGCCCCCTCCTCCCTCTACCTCCCCCCTCCCTCCATCCCTCCCCCCTCCCTCCATCCCCCCTCCTCCCTCCCCCCTCCCTCTACCTCCCTCCCCCCTCCCTCTACCTCCCCCCCTCCCTCCCCCCTCCCTACCCCCTCCCTCCATCCCTCCTCCCTCCCCCCTCCCTCTACCTCCCCCTCCCTCCCACCCCCTCCCTCCACCCCCTCCTCCCTCCTACCCCCTCCTCCCTCCCCCCTCCCCCTCCTCCTCCCCCGCCCCCCCCCGCCCCTCCCCCCGGTGCAGTCTCCTGGGCGGCCTCTTCAGCACCAACCTGTGCGGCGCCTCCCTCATGCTCGCCGCGCTCGGGGTCGACCGCTACCTGGCCGTGGTGCGCGCGCGCGGCTGGGCGCGCGCGCCGCGAGCCGCCGCGCGGCGCGTGCACGCCACGTGCGCGTGCGCGTGGCTCGCCGCGCTGCTGATGAGCGCGCCCAGCTTCGCCAACTACCGCGTGCTCGCGGCCGAGTGCGTGTACGGCAACGGGAGTGGCAAGGCGACTGTGCGGCTGTTGCAGGTGAGCTGTGTGTGTGTGTGTTTGTGTGTGTGTGTTTGTGTGTGACTGTGTGTGTGACTGTGTGTGTGTTTGTGTGTGTGTGTCTGTGTGTGTGTGTGTGTCTGTGTGTGTGTGTTTGTGTGTTTGTGTGTGTGTGTCTGTGTGTGTGTGTCTGTGTGTGTTTGTTTGTTTGTGTCTGTGTGTGTGTTTGTGTGTGTTTGTGTGTGTGTCTGTGTGTGTTTGTGTGTGTGTCTGTGTGTGTGTCTGTGTGTGTCTGTGTGTGTGTGTTTGTGTGTGTGTGACTGTGTGTGTGTGACTGTGTGTGTGTGTCTGTGTGTTTTTGTGTGTCTGTGTGTGTGTGTTTGTCTGTGTGTGTCTGTGTGTGTTTGTGTGTGTGTGTTTGTGTGTCTGTGTGTGTTTGTGTGTGTGTGTTTGTGTGTGTTTGTGTGTGTGTTTGTGTATGTGTGTGACTGTGTGTGTGTGTGACTGTGTGTGTGTTTGTGTGTCTGTGTGTTTGTGTGTGTCTGTGTGTGTTTGTATGTGTGTTTGTGTGTGTGTCTGTGTCTGTGTGTGTCTGTGTGTGTGTGTCTGTGTGTGTGTTTGTGTGTGTGTGTTTGTGTGTGTGTGACTGTGTGTGTGTGTGACTGTGTGTGTGTCTGTGTGTTTTTGTGTGTCTGTGTGTGTGTTTGTCTGTGTGTGTCTGTGTGTGTTTGTGTGTGTGTGTCTGTGTGTGTGTGACTGTGTGTGTGTCTTTGTGTGTGTTTGTGTGTTTGTGTGTGTTTGTCTGTGTGTGTCTGTGTGTGTGTGTTTGTGTGTGTGTCTGTGTGTGTGTTTGTTTGTGTGTGTGTCTGTTCGTGTGTGTCTGTGTGTGTGTTTGTTTGTGTGTTTGTGTGTGTGTCTGTCTGTGTCTGCGTGTGTCTGTCTCGCTAACAGCACTTGCCCCAACAGTCTTAAGGCTACACGGGTGATCTTTGTCTATCGTTGTCCATTCTACCCCTCCCCCCACCCTCTCTGCTCTCCCACTCCCCCCCACCCCCACCCTCTCTGTTGTTCCCCCACTCCCCCCACCCCCACCCTCTCTGTTGTCCCACTCCCCCCACCCCCACCCTCTCTGCTGTCCCACTCCCCCCACCCCCACCCTCTCTGCTGTCCCCCCCCACCCTCTCTGTTGTCCCACTCCCCCCACCCCCACCCTCTCTGTTGTCCCACTCCCCCCACCCCCACCCTCTCTGCTGTTCCACTCCCCCCACCCCCACCCTCTCTGTTGTCCCACTCCCCCCCACCCCCACCCTCTCTGCTGTTCCACTCCCCCCACCCTCTCTGTTGTCCCACTCCCCCCCACCCCCACCCTCTCTGTTGTCCCACTCCCCCCCCACCCCCACCCTCTCTGCTGTCCCACTCCCCCCCACCCCCACCCTCTCTGCTGTTCCACTCCCCCCACCCCCACCCTCTCTGCTCTCCCCCCACCCCCACCCTCTCTGTTGTCCAACTCACCCCCCACCCTCACCCTCTCTGCTGTCCCACTCCCCCCCTCACCCCCCCTCACTCCCCCCCCTCTCCCCCCACCCTCTGCACTCCCCCCCCACCCGCCCCGCTCTGCAGGTGCTGGGCTCGTGCGTGCTCCCTGGAGCCATCATGAGCTTCTGCTACGGCAGCATCGCGTGGCGGCTGCTGCGGCTGAGAGACGCGAGGCGTCAACGCGCCCTGCGCATCGTCTACGCCGCGGTGGTCGCCTTCGTGAGCTGCACGCTGCCCTACAACGCCGTGGCCCTGGTGGACGTCTACGCCTGGTCCTCCATCCCGCCCGGCAACTGCCAAGAGCAGACGCTCAGGCGAGCTACTTGGACGTGTCTGTGTGTGTCTGTGTGTGTGTCTGTGTGTGGGTGTGTGTGTGTCTGTGTGTGTGTGTCTGTGTGTACCGGGGGAATTTCCATTTGGTACAGATATAATGGGAGGCTGATCGACGCCCGGGTGCGATCAAGGGATGGCTCCCTATTGGTCAACCACGTTATGTATGCCGATGATTTGGTAATAGCTGCTCATTCAGAAGAGGAGTTGGAGACGCTGCTGCTGAGACTGGAGCGTGCCACTAAGAGGTGGGGCCTTACCATCAGCCCCACCAAAACTAAGCACCTGCCTGGGTATTTTGTACCATCGGACACTCCACCCCCACAACTCCCAATTGGTGATGGGGCAGTTGTGGAGAGAGTGGAGAGTTTCCCATACCTGGGCAGTGTGCTTATGACCGGTTCCAGTTTATCAGCAGAGGTCTCACTCCGAATCAGTCGAGCGGCAATATCTTTTCATCGGTTGCGTAACGCTGTGTGGAAGCTACCTGGTCTGTCGCTCCGCACGAAGCTTCAGGTCTTCTCGGCCACGGTCATTCCCTCCCTTCTCTACGCTTGCGAGACGTGGACCCCCCTGGTGGAGCATCTTCGCCGGTTGGAAACATTTAGGCTGGCCTGCCTACGATCCATCCTGGGTTTAACCAGGCTGGATTGTGTGAGGAGCTCACAAATCCTTGAAAGATCTGGGCAAAGTCCCATCAGTGAGCTCCTCCTGAAGGCAAGGCTGCGTTGGCTGGGTCATGTAGCCCGCATGCCCAGCCACCGCATGCCTAAACAGCTTTTGTTCGGCCGGATCGAGGGGGCTAGACGGGCGCGGCACGGGCTGGAGAAGAGATGGAGTGATGTGGTACAGGAGGACGTGGAGCTGAGTGGACTTGCCGATGACTGGTACCAGCGGTGTCAAGATCGGCCTCAGTGGAGGAGGCTCGTGAAGGACGCTACTGGGCAGTTGGAGGCAGTCGCCCTCCAACAACAACGGAGGGCGGAGGAGCGACGCTCACAACAACGAGCGGAGCGCCGGGTGGCTAAAGCACAGCAAGTTGGTACAGTAGGGGGCACAGGTGGTGCATCAGCCAGTCATCTCGGTCATCTCGGTTAGTCGACCCGTGGCACCTGCTGGGTCTGCCCCGTGACCTCCTGTCAGCGGGCGTTCGACACTTCACGTGGCCTCAAGGTGCACTTGGCCTGGCACAAGCGTCGTGGTGACGTTACCGCCACTTAGTGACTTCCATGGTAAACTGGATTCCCATGGTGAACTGAATTCCAACGGTAAATTGGACTTCCGTGGTAAACTGGACTTCCGTGGTAAACTGGACTTCCGTGGTAAACTGAATTCCCATGGTAAATTGGACTTCCGTGGTAAACTGGACTTCCGTGGTAAACTGGACTTCCGTGGTAAACTGAATTCCCATGGTAAATTGGACTTCCGTGGTAAACTGGACTTCCGTGGTAAATTGGACTTCCGTGGTAAACTGGACTTCCGTGGTAAACTGAATTCCCATGGTAAATTGGACTTCCGTGGTAAACTGGATTCCCATGATGAATTGGACTTCCATGGTAAACTGGACTCCCATACTAAACTGCATTTCCATGGTAAATTGGACTCCCATAGTAAACTGGACTCCCATCAACATTCAAAGAACCTCAATGCAGTCCTTAAAGAGCCGCGTGCGGTTTCCAGAGCCGCATTCTCTGCCGACCCCTCATCATGACGACGACGATGATGATTTCGATTTAAAGCTTTCGTGACTGCAGGGATTCATCTTCTTGGTTCTTTCGGTAATGTCACGTAGAAGGGAAGTAATAAAATAATAAAAATAAAACATATAATATAATAATATATACAATAATAAAAATAAAGAATATAAAAAATAATATAATAATATATATATTTTTTATATATTATTTTTATTATTTTATTACTTCTCTTCTACGTGACTTTACCGAAAGAACCAAGAAGATGACGACGATGATGTTCATTGTAGTGAGACACTCAGATGACGTTGATGATGATGATTACACTGGTCAACAAAAAAAACATTTTTTTCTGGCCTGGACTTTTGCAGCTGTTTTAGACTAATTTCAGGGTGCTGATTCCAAATCTGATCTCAGATTTGCTCTATCACATCTCATTTTTATGCTATCTGCATACCCCATTTTCATTGATTTTACCAGAAATTAACTCTGTCACTTGTGATTGCAAGTTGTTGCGAGTCAGTGACTACTTTAGTGTTAAAATATGGTGCTGTATTTTTAGGATAGTGTGTTTATAATATCATCTTATGTAGATATCCACATTTATTTAATACTTTTCTTCCGCAGTTTTTATTGAAAATGCAATATTTGATATCTCAAAAAAACCTGACGTGATAGACAAAAATGATGCCAGATTTGGAATCAGCACCCCAAAATTACCTTACACCCGTTGGAATACCTTGTGCCAGAAAAAGTGTGTTGACCAGTGTTATCAAGCAACACATTTCGCTCAAGGACGCAGACACGTGACAGTAACCGGCCACCGGTTAGGATCGACCAGTGTTATCATCACCACAGATCATCGTCGGGCAAGACAGACCTGTCATCACCACCGCCGCCACCACAACAACTCGTCCGCTTGTATCTGACCCCGCAGATTCACGGCCAATCTGGTCACGGAGGTGCTCGCGTACAGCCACTGCGCCATCCACCCCGTGCTGCACGCGTGCCTGAGCCGCGCCTTCCGCCAGCAGCTGCTGGCCATGCTGCTGCGGCCACCGGCGACGTGGGGACGACGGCCACGGGGCCACAGGGCCACGGCCGCCGGGCCCGCGTCCGAGGGGGGGTCGTCGGGCAAGACGGAGCTGTCCCTGTCTGCTCGGGACACCGTGCTGGTGCACACTGTGATCTGAGTGTGTGTGTGTCTCTCTCACTGCTGTGATCTGGGTTTGTGTGTGTGTGTGTCTCTCTCTCGCTGCTGTGATCTGAGTGTGTGTGTGTGTCTCTCTCTCGCTGCTGTGATCTGAGTGTGTGTGTGTGTCTCTCTCGCTGCTGTGATCTGGGTGTCAATGTCACAGTGATCTGAGTGTGTGTGTCTCTCTCTCGCTGCTGTGATCTGGGTGTCAATGTCACAGTGATCTGAGTGTGTGTGTGTCTCTCTCTCGCTGCTGTGATCTGGGTGTGTGTGTGTGTCTCTCTCACTGCTGTGATCTGGGTGTCAATGTCACAGTGATCTGTGTGTGTGTGTCTCTCTCTCGCTGCTGTGATCTGGGTGTGAGTGTGTGTGTCTCTCTCACTGCTGTGATCTGGGTGTCAATGTCACAGTGATCTGTGTGTGTGTGTCTCTCACTGTTGTGATCTGAGTATGTGTGTGTGTCTCTCTCGCTGCTGTGATCTGAGTGCGTGTGTGTGTGTCTCTCTCACTGCTGTGATCTGGGTGTCAATGTCACTGTGATCTGAGTGTGTGTGTGTGTGTCTCTCTCTCTCACTGCTGTGATCTGAGTGTGTGTGTGTGTCTCTCACTGCTGTGATCTGGGTGTCAATGTCAATGTGATCTGAGTGTGTGTGTGTCTCTCTCTCTCTCACTGCTGTGATCTGAGTGTGTGTGTGTCTCTCACTGCTGTGATCTGAGTGTGTGTGTGTCTCTCACTGCTGTGATCTGAGTGTGTGCGTGTGTCTCTCACTGCTGTGATCTGAGTGTGTGTGTGTCTCTCACTGCTGTGATCTGAGTGTGTGTGTGTCTCTCACTGCTGTGATCTGAGTGTGTGCGTGTGTCTCTCACTGCTGTGATCTGAGTGTGTGTGTGTCTCTCACTGCTGTGATCTGAGTGTGTGTGTGTCTCTCACTGCTGTGATCTGAGTGTGTGTGTGTCTCTCACTGCTGTGATCTGAGTGTGTGTGTGTCTCTCACTGCTGTGATCTGAGTGTGTGTGTGTCTCTCACTGCTGTGATCTGAGTGTGTGTGTGTCTCTCACTGCTGTGATCTGGGTGTGTGTGTGTTTCTCTCTCTCTCACTCACTGCTGTGATCTGTGTGTGTCTCTCTCTCTCACTGTTGTGATCTGAGTGTGCGTGTGTCTCTCTCTCTCTGTGATCTGGGTGTCAATGTCACTGTAATCTGAGTGTGTGTGTGTCTCTCTCTCTCTGTGATCTGGGTGTCAATGTCACTGTAATCTGAGTGTGTGTGTGTCTCTCTCTCTCTGTGATCTGGGTGTCAATGTCACTGTAATCTGAGTGTGTGTGTGTGTCTCTCTCTGTGATCTGGGTGTCAATGTCACTGTAATCTGAGTGTGTGTGTGTCTCTCTCTCTCTCTGTGATCTGGGTGTCAATGTCACTGTAATCTGAGTTTGTGTGTGTCTCTCTCTCTCTGTGATCTGGGTGTCAATGTTCCTGTAATCTGAGTGTGTGTGTCTCTCTCTCTCTGTGATCTGGGTGTCAATGTCACTGTAATCTGAGTTTGTGTGTGTCTCTCTCTGCTGTGATCTGGGTGTCAATGTCACTGTAATCTGAGTGTGTGTGTGTCTCTCTCTCTCTGTGATCTGGGTGTCAATGTTCCTGTAATCTGAGTGTGTGTGTGTCTCTCTCTGCTGTGATCAGGGAGTCAATGTTCCTGTAATCTGAGTGTGTGTGTGTCTTTTACAAGGAATCATGTCTGCCTAGTCTCAACACTGAAAGCTGTCTCTGGTGTGGACCAATCAGTTTCAAAGACAATGCAGATATTATCAGAGTATGTTTTTGTTTGCATTCTGACCACAAGTATTGTGGTTAACGCAGACATGATACCTTGTAAAAGTTTTCAGTTTAGTGTTTTAACATCTTAACACAACTGTTTTGTTGCCATAAAAAAGGGGAAAACCTATTCTCATATTTTGTTACTGGCAAAGGGGAGGTCCGGTGTTCCAGATATGAGAATTAAAATGTAGATTTGCGTCTGTCTTGCGACAATCTCATGGCATGTGGGCACAGTGGTAATTCGCGTGCGTCACACCTCACAACAACAAGGGGCCTGGGTTTGATTCCTGACTTGGGTAACGTTCTGTGGTGTGGAGTTTGCATGCACTCCCCCCCCCCCCTGTTTTGCACGGATGTTCCCCGGGCTCTCTGGTTTCCTCGCATAGCTAAACAAAAACAACACCCTCCTCCCGAACATAAAGTGAATCTGATATTAGCCAAAAAACATCTCAAGTGCTGACAAAAAAAACAACCTCCAAATTACGTTAAACTTCTTTCGCGCCGTACGTAGCCGCCCATGCTAATCGGAGGTGCTAATCATAATAAAGGTTTTTGGGTTCGATCGCGTAAGTAGAAATGTGTCCTGACCCTGCACCACCTATGATCACTGTTTCATTGGTTTAATGGCTTTACTTTGGTGATTTAAAAAAGTGTATTGGTTTAGCCATGTTTGTTTGTTGTAGTACAGAGTTAGACTGGTGGCCTTAATCTAAGTTGTCTTGTGGTTGTTGTTGGTTGTTTGACTTGCATCCCACTGGGATTTTTGCACACAGCGTTGGTGTACGGTGTTTTTTTTCTGCAATATTTTGCTGTATATTCATGGATTTTCTGTTTGCACTCAGTCACATATTCACTTTAAGATGTTTTTTTGTTCATGTTTTTGTTTTTTGTTTGTTGCGGTTGCACCCGATTCAAGAGCCGAATGGCTCACAGGGCTACACCTAATCAATGAACTTGAACCACCCGACACAGCCAATAAGGTTTTGTCACGCAAACTAAATGCGTCAATTCGTTACTACTTTAGCCCACCGGTGTGTCGGAGAGTAAATACACAACATTTACCATGTGAGTACGACGTTTCGCTGGTAATTACATCCAGCATCGGGCGCTGTAAAATGATTAAATGAATCCGACGACAGAATGAGTGATAAATTATGTTGTTAATATATTATGTTTTTTATGCAAAATGTGTCCAATCTGTGTCAAGGGACGGTCTCATTTGGGGTTTTCCGATCCACAAATCGTCTCTTTAGATCCAGAAATCACGTGACAGGAATAACTTTATTCTAAATATCACAGCTCCGTGTTCGAGCATGGATCAAGCATGGATCAACCTTTGTATCCTTAAACATCGCCGATTCCTATTCCAGGATCCCTTATATGGGCAAAGTCACACCCGATTATTCCATGTATGGGCCTAAAACGTCAACAAAATGTATCATTCATTCTGTCGCGGATTCATTGAATCAGTTTCAGTTTTTCAGTTTAATTTATTCGGTATAGCCCAGTGAGCCATGAGGCTCTTGACTCGGGTGCAACCGCAACAAACAAAAACATGAACACAGAACATCTTAAAGTGACGACGCACAACAGAGACATCCAGGAAAAGCCAGTAAACATCTTTCAGAAAAAGGCACCGCACATCAACGCTGCGTGCAAATAATCCCAATGGGATGCAAGTCTAACAATAACAACCATAAGACAATTGAGATAAAGTTCCGATTTAAAGCTTTCGTGACTGCAGGGATTCATCTTCTTGGTTCTTTCGGTAAAGTCACGTAGAATGGAAATAATAAAATAATAAAAGATATTATATTATTTTATTATGTTTTATTATTTTTATTTTATTATTTCCATTCTACGTGACTTTACCGAAAGAACCAAGAAGATGAATTGTTTAATTTTATTATGTTTTATTTTTATTAGTTTATTAATTTTATCATGTTTTCTTTTTGTAATTTAATTATGTTTTATTTTTATTGTTTTATTATTTCCCTTCTATGTGACTTCACCGAAAGAACCAAGAAGTTAGATAAAGTGATCAGGCCAACTGTTATGGCAGCGCCACTGCTCTCAGAAGATTTCCGAAATGACTTTGTCATCGCACGGCATGGCAGCACGGTTAGAATTGGCGAACATTTGTAAAGTATGACCTGAACTATTTTGTTGTTGTTGTTGTGAACAGATGGCTAATTGTCATTTATATGTGCAGAATTTAACTTTGTATGTTGCCCATCCTTATGAAAACGAATGTACGCCGAATACTGTGCTATTTTGAAAAGCTGACTGCTCTACCATTACTGTAATAATATCAGTTTATAGATTTCGAAAGTCTTACGTTGATGGTTAGCAATTCCCTGTGTGACTGATCATTATGAGTACGCATTAACACTGGACTCTGGCGTGTCTGTATGTGAACATTTAATACCGCATTGTTTAAAAAAACGCATTAAATACTCTAATCAAGTTGGCTTCATACTTAAAACAAGAACGCGTGTGTGAGTTGTCTTGGCCGTGGCTAGAATGTGTGTCCCTCCACGTAAAAAAAAATAAGAGATGTATTCTGTACTATTTGGATATTTCGGCAAAGTCACGTCGGTAGAATCAAAAAATATATCACGACGTTTCGATCACAACACAAGCGGTCGTCCTCAGGTGGAAACAAAAATAATCCAGCAGTGGAACTCCTGAACCAACGCGCTTTTGTTGCGATCGAAACGTCGTGATATAGTATTTATTTTATTACCTACGTGACTTTACCGAAAGAACCAAAGAGTATGGATTCCTGCAGTCACGAAAGCTTCAAATCAAGATTGTATCATGTACCGTGTTTGAAAGTGTTTTCTACACATCCCATTAGCCGCACTGCCTCCTGCATATTTGCGGGAGCGTTTGTTTAATACGTAAAATAATCCTCCTGCTTCAAATTCGTCATTCATTGTCTTGTCGGCAATGTCAGCTTTGAATATTGTGAGTGCTCTCCATGAGTTCATTTCCCCTGGCTCTGAACGGGTAAGCTGCATTATCATCATAGTCATCACCATCATGCAACACCATCACCTCTATCACCACCACACACTCATCACCACCAATTATTCACCACCACCACCACGATCATGATTTTCCAACACCGTCATTATATCACCAACACCGTCATGCCACGATCATTAATTACATCATTATCACTTCACCATCAACAACCATTATGCATTGATATTATTTAGATTATACTGGTAGGAACCTCCTGGTTATACCAGCCCACAGGGGATTATTGTGTCCGTCGTGCAGGGACGGACACAATAGGGAGGGGCTGGGTGGGGAGGGGAGGGTGGGGAGGGGCTGGGTGGGGAGGGTGGGGCTGGGTGGGGAGGGTGGGGAGGGGCTGGGTGGGGAGGGTGGGGAGGGGCTGGGTGGGGAGGGGTGGGGCTGGGTGGGGAGGGAGGGGCTGGTCACCCCGTGGTGCCCTTATAAAACTCAACGTTTAACCTACTCACGCCGGCTTGTGCCCGCCCTCACAGTCAGGCATACTTGCGGAATACACCACGCCGCCGTTGACCCTGGCCATTGACCGAGCAACCCGACGTTCCTACCAGCTCCCTCCGCAGGACAATGTGTTTTTGGTGCTACACATGTCCAAACCACGGGCCACTTTGCTAAGTTGGTGGCCAGGTCGATTCTGAAAAGTAAGTTAAGACCTCAGTGGGCTTCGCCTGGTAGGATGGGGATGGTTTAGCGTTGTTTTTGTTTGCGTTTGGGCGATTTGTTTACCTTTCTTACCAAGTTGGCACAGTAGGGGGGGGCACAGGCGGTGCATCGGCCGGTCATCTCAGTCAGTCGACCCGTGGCACCTGCTGGGTCTGTCCCGTGACCTCCTTCCTGCCGGCGGGCGTTCGACACTTTCACGTGTCCATTAAAGTGCACCTAGCCTGGCACGGGCGCCTTTGTGGCGACACTGCCACTTTAGTGGCGAATGGCGGCAGTTGTTGTTGGTGTTGTTTAGCTTTATTGTACTGACGGCTCCTATCATTGTTTTTGCATCGTTTGTTGTTGCGACGTTCTTACCCCTGTCGGACATCTGTGAAGAAAAGAGCTTTATAGATTAATCGGATTTCTACTCCAGAAGTATGAATAGAGATTCCGATTGTGACCATCAATCACCATCACCACCGTCAACCACTACCACCATCATCACCACCATCAACCACCATCACCACCATAAACCACCATCATCACCATCACCACCATCACCATCATCACCACCATCAACCACCATAAACTACCACCATCATCACCATCACCACCATCATCACCATCATCACAACCATCAACCACCATAAACTACCACCATCATCACCATCACCACCATCACCACCATCATCACCATCACCATCATCACCATCACCACCATCAACCACCATCACCACCATCAACCACCATCACCACCATCAACCACCATCACCACCATCACCACCATCAACCACCATCATCACCACCATCATCACCACCATCAACCACCATCACCACCATAAACCACCATCATCACCACCATCAACCACCATAAACTACCACCATCACCACCATCATCACCATAACCACCATCATCACCATCACCACCATCATCACCATCACCACCATAACCACAATCACCATCATCACCACCATCATCACCATCACCACCATCATCAACCACCATCATCAACCACCATCACCACCATCAACCACCATCACCACCATCAACCACCATCACCACCATCACCACCATCATCAACCACCATCATCAACCACCATCACCACCATCAACCACCATCACCACCATCAACCACCATCATCATCATCATCAACCACCATCACCACCATCGACCACCATCACCACCATCAACCACCATCAACCACCATCAACCACCATCATCATCATCAACCACCATCATCAACCACCATCACCATCATCAACCACCACCATCAACCACCATCATCATCATCAACCACCATCATCAACCACCATCACCATCATCAACCACCATGAATCACCACCATCACCACCATCATCATCGTCACTCACCCATCACTGACAGTTGCCAGGGGCAACGCCTCGTGACGTCGCGCCGCTCTCGTCCAATCGCGTGGCTCCACGCTGCCCCCACCACTCGGCCCCCCTAGAAGCCCGGCCGAGGCCTCCACTCGACACAGCCCAACTCACGCCGCCGCCTTCAAAGCTCGCCAGCCTCCTCCTCCTCCCTCCTCATCGACCTCCTCATCACCCTCACGCGTCTCTCGCGTCTCCTCTCGTCCGTCACAAGGCAACGCACGACCCCCCCCCCCAAGCTCACGCCCTCGCTTTGACGGCCACTGTTGACCGCTGCGGCCTGTAGTTTTACCGGTCTCGGATAGAATCCTCAGCCGGGGTTACCCCACCCTCGGCCCGCCTTCGCGCTCCGCCGCGGCCGGGGCCGCATGAGCGCTTCGGGGTCTCCGCACGTGGCGTTCGAGGTTCCCGTGGAGGTGGCGGCCGCTGCGGCCACGTCGGCGGCGGGGATGCTGCGTAACGAGAGGCTGCGGCTCGGGGTGTGCTTCGTGGGAGTGTTCGTCTGCTACTTCTACTACGGCATCCTGCAGGAGAGCATGTGAGTGGGTGGGCACGGTGGGTGCGTGGGGAGATGTGGGGAGATGTGTGTGTACGTGGGGAGATGTGTGTGTACGTGGGGAGATGTGGGGGTACGTGGGGAGATGTGTGTGTACGTGGGGAGATGTGTGTGTACGTGGGGAGATGTGGGGGTGCGTGGGGAGATGTGTGTGTACGTGGGGAGATGTGTGTGTACGTGGGGAGATGTGAGTGGGTGGGCACGGTGGGGTGCGTAGGGAGATGTGGGGGTACGTAGGGAGATGTGGGTGGGCACGGTGGGGTGCGTGGGGAGATGTGTGTGTGTACGTGGGGAGAAGTGAGGGGCACGAGGGGAGATGTGAGTGGGTGGGCACGGTGGGGAGATGTGGGGGTACGTGGGGAGATGGGGGGTACGTGGGGAGAAGTGTGTGTACGTGGTGAGATGTGAGTGGGTGGGCACGGTGGGGTGCGTAGGGAGATGTGGGTACGTGGGAAGATGTGTGTGTGTACGTGGGGAGAAGTGTGTGTGTACGTTGGGGAGATGTGGGTACGTGGGGAGATGTGTGTGTGTACATGGGGAGATGTGTGTGTACGTGGGGAGATGTGGGGGTACGTGGGGAGATGGGGGGGGGCACGGTGGGGTGCGTAGGGAGATGTGGGTACGTGGGAAGATGTGTGTGTGTGTACGTGGGGAGATGTGTGTGTGTGTGTACGTGGGGAGATGTGTGTGTGTGTGTACGTGGGGAGATGTGTGTGTGTGTGTACGTGGGGAGATGTGTGTGTGGGTACGTGGGGAGATGTGTACGTGGGGAGATGTGTGTGGGGTACGTGGGGAGATGCATGGGGAGACGAGGGGGTAAATAGCAGCCACAGTAGCTAGGAGATGTTTACTACCTCGCCAGGTCTACAGGAGGTCGTTGGTTCGAACCCGACCCGGTCACCTGCTGCTGTATATTTGGAGTTTGCGTGTCTCTCTCTCTCCGTGGTCGCGTGGATTTTCCTCCCTGGTCCTCAAGGTTTTTCCCCTCCACATTTAAAATCAACATCACGCGTTTCGAGTATTTGGCTGCTATGAATGTGATCGTTTTAGTTTACATGAGTAGACATTGGGGTGGGGGGGGGTGCATGGCGAGATGAGAGTGTACATGGGTTTAGGGGTGGTACGTGGAGGATAAATGGTGAATGAATGGGGTGAAAGAGGGGGACGGGTAAACCAAGGATCGGCTCTGATGCCACTCGCCACTGATGTTAGCCGTGGCCAGGGGAATCGGCATCCGGCAGAGGTCGCAAACGGGTTTTGATTCTATTTCAATTTAAAGCTTTCGTGACTGCAGGGATTCATCTTCTTGGTTCTTTCGGTAAAGTCACGTAGAAGGGAAGTAATAATAATATTTTATTTTATTATATTATTTTATTATGTTTTATTTTTATTGTTTTATTACTTCCCTTCTACGTGACTTTACCGAAAGAACCAAGAAGAGGGTTTTGATTCCTTACCCGTACCCGTATCCGGCCGCACCAGGGTCGCAAACGGCTACCCGTACCCGGCCGGGTACGGGTAGCCGGGTATCGGGTAGGGTACGGGTATCGGGTACCCGGTTGCGACCTCTGGCATCCGGTCACCGGGTTCAGAGAGTGCAGTGCTAACCAACGTGCCGTTACTCTCTCTCTATGGGGGTATAATGGGGACGCAAGGGGGTATGTGGGAGGGGGGGGCACGCATGAAGGATAATGTGGTGAACCGGTGGATACACATGGGAAACGAGAGAATGGTGGATACGGAAACGCGGCAGACAGCGGGATGTATGGGAGACACGGTGGGGGGTGGTGGTGGGAGGGGGGGACAACTGGAGGACACGTGGACAATAAGAGACGTGGGCGATAATGACACGGGGAAATGTGAGACGTGGTGGTGCTTTGTAGTAGGGCTGAACGATTAATCGATTTCAAATCGAAATCGTAATTTGAAACAATGCAATTTTTTGCGATTTGAAAAGTCCTATTACTTTCTTATTGGAATTGTTTTATTTGTTATTATTATAACTTTATTTAACTTAACTATTGTTCTATGTTTCATTGTTCTATTGCATTTTTTAAAATAAATACATGTTGGAAGCAATTCATATCTTTTAAGTGCTCATCCTTGCATTAGAATACATAGCTCAGTTAATATTTTGATGGTATCATGTGGTAATGCTCCATCACATGTTTTAAATCTATTACACAGTGAATATTGAACTGAAGCTTGACTTTAAAAAAATGTAATTGCAAATCAAATCGCAATGAGATATTTTCAATCTTGATTCGAAGCTTTAGTGACTGCAGGAATCCATACTCTTTGATATTTTCCCCAAATCGTTCAGCCCTATTTTCTTGGAGCGTCCTTCTTGCTACTTGGAACTGCTGAACCGCTTTAGGACGGCGCGAGACGAGGCGACGGAGACATCGGAGAGAATTTCACCGGGGCCGTCCCAATCCAGACAAATATGTTATGACATCTTAATTTGACCACATTTGTGTTTGGTTTGTTGTCCTTAGCCCGCACCTCCGATTCGCACGGTCGGCTACGTACGGTGCGAACGAAGGTGAACAAACATTTCCACATCATATACTTTGCATCGATTTTACCTTGTAAATCGTAAATGCATTGGCCTCACGAAAGTTTTGGCAGCTTAGTCCTGCGTATCCAGTTGGCAGTGTGGGCAATGGCTTAGTTCCAAGTACAGTAGTTCTGACGTGGCATGGTTTACCTCGTGCTGTTGTGTATTTGACAGTGGTTAGACGCACTGAACCCGGGCCACCGGGGTTCGATTCCCAGCCAAGGCCAACACCGTTTGGAGAGTGGTATCTGAACCGGTCCTGGTACCCAACAACCTTTGCTTCCCCAATCCAGCTCCGTCCCTCCGCCTTGCCTTCTACCATCCCACAAGGCCAGCCTGGTGAAGTATGGTCAAACAACAGCCGTGACCGATATGGCGTGTGGGAGACCTTCATGCAGTCGTAGACTCAACCGAGATGTGAATGTCACCTTGGTTATGAATGAATGAATAACTATTTAGCTTTTTAAATTTTTTTTTTATTTTACCAGGTAAGGCCCACTGAGCTATATCGCTATTTTTCAGAAGCGACCTGGCCACAAATGGTAGCGCAAAGAAGTGGCTTATCATGTGGACATTTATAGCAGCCAAAGAAACTAAACGCACGTTGATTGTAAATGTGGAGGGAAAAACCGGAGGACCCGGAGAAAAATTCAACACGAGACCACGGGGAGAGAGTGAGACACGCAAACTCCAAATATACAGCAGGCATCAGGGTCGCTATTGAACCCATGACTTATTTCATACCAGGCGAGGTAGTTAACATCTAGCCACCGCGATGATGATGAGAGAGAGAGAGAGACACGCAAACTCCAAATATACAGCAGCAGGCGTCAGGGTCGGGATCGAACCCAAGACCTCCTGCATACCAGGCGAGGTAGTGAACATCTCGACGCTGCGGCAATCTAATAAGTTGGTTGCCTCATCCACATTGGTGGTGCCCAGCTAGTGGTGTCAATTCCACGGTTATATGGTGGGCGACGGTGTATCCTTAGTTAACTCTGAAGCAAGCACACGACGGTAATTGCCACGTTTCGGTGGTGAGAATGATTGTTCTTCAGCGGACCAGCGTGAGCGGAAGCAATCGTAACGGGCGCGGTTATTTTGTACTCTACACGTGAGAATTTTTCTTGGGCTTAATGATAGATTAGCACAGTTGGACAGACGTTCAACACACGTACATACACCGCACTTCCGATTAGCACGGTTGGCTACGTACAGTGTGAAAGAAGTTCAACATACGTACGTACGGATCGTTTACGAGGCCTAATCTAATTATCAATGATGAATCGGCAAGCACTGATGTTGTCTGTCGTGGTGACTAAGTGGTACCGCTTTATCGACCTCGGACGGAAGGATTGATGTTTGAGGGTGACGCAGGGGAAGGATGTACTGTGTATGTAATGTTGGGAGCCGATGATGTTATGTTGTCTCTGAGTGTGACACGTTTTATTTGGGTTTTGCGTGTTGTTTGTCTGTGTGTGTCATGCCTTTCTGTTTCCCCAAAATGTACTCTGCCTTAAATGAGTACCTGGTGAGGTGTGTAAAAATGGGCTACGGGGAGACAAAGGCGGCCGGGCATGGCGCTGGCCACCCACCCCCTCGTGTTCTGTGCTGGCCTTCATAGGTGCTCGCTAACAAAAGTCTGTACATGGGGTATATCTATCACGTGTATGTTGCCTGGGTTCGTCGTGTTGCATGTGTGTTGTGTTGATGCGCATCTCGTGTGTGACGGTCTATGTGCGGCGTGTTCCGTGTACGTCTGGCGTGTCTGTCTGTACATGCGACACGTATGGGCGCGCGTTTAAGTGCTTCCACGTGCGCACACGCACGTCATACCTGAAAGTGCGGCTTGCCCGTTTACACGCGCGTGTCGTATCGTCACGCTTGTGTGGTTGAGTGTGCTAACAGCGCTTGGGGGGATCTTTGTGCGCGTGTGTTTGTGCGAGCGAGCAGCACGCGAGGACAGTACGGCTCGGGAGATGTGGAGGAGCGCTTCCGGTTCGCCATGTCGCTCGTCTTCGTGCAGTGCGTGATCAGCGCGCTCTTCGCCAAGCTCGGTACGGCGAGCACCGACCGCCCTGAGCAACGGCAGTGAAGCCAATTGCCTCCCTGAACACCAGTCGCTCGCAGCCGGTGCGGTGGCTATGCGCGTGAACACGGAGGCATTGAGGTTTTGGTGGATCGCCGCACCAAATGTTGTGAAACTCCCTATTCCCGCGGGTGTCGAGGAGGTAATCCGCGGTGTTCCTGTGCTCTGTCCTCCGTCACCGTGATCATTGTTGCGATTATCGTCGTCGTCATCTGGCTGGTGCGGTGCGTGCGCGCAGTGATGAAGTACGTGACGAAGCCGGCGCCCGACCGCACGGCGGGCTGGCTGTCCGCGGCCTGCGCCGTCTCCTACCTCGGCGCCATGGTCTCCAGCAACTCGGCGCTGCAGTACGTCAACTACCCCACGCAGGTGCGTGCCGTCACACCCCCACGTCACACCCCACGTCGACCACGCGTCACACCCCCCACGTCACACCCCCACGTCACACCCCCACGTCACACCCCACGTCGACCACGTGTCACACCCCCCACGTCACACCCCCACGTCACACCCCACGTCGACCACGTGTCACACCCCCCACGTCACACCCCCCATGTCGCACCCCCCTCGTCGCGCCCCCCTCGTCGCCCCCCGCGTCACACCCCCGCGTCACACCCCCGCGTCGCACCCCCGCGTCGCACCCCCGCGTCGCACCCCCGCGTCGCACCCCCGCGTCGCACCCCCGCGTCGCACCCCGCGTCGCACCCCCGCGTCGCACCCCCGCGTCGCACCCCCGCGTCGCACCCCGCGTCGCACCCCCGCGTCGCACCCCGCGTCGCACCCCCGCGTCGCACCCCCGCGTCGCACCCCCGCGTCGCACCCCCGCGTCGCACCCCCGCGTCGCACCCCCGCACCCCGCGTCGCACCCCCGCGTCGCACCCCCGCGTCGCAACCCCCGCGTCGCACCCCCGCGTCGTACCCAACCCCGCTGCACTGCGATGTTGCCCTGAAGTGGGAGTACAGCAAGTGGGTCCGCGAATAGTTCTCTCAAGAGCTCTTTGGTTTCTGCCTTTTTTTTATTTACAAAAGGAAATTCGCCAAACTTCCCAAATGCAGCAACGTTCATGAAAACGATTGAGAGACTCGGCGAGTCTTTCTGGGGTAAATAAATGTTCTAGATTTGAAGCTTTCGTGACTGCAAGGATTCATACTGTTAGGTTTTTTTCGGTAGTCATGTAGGTAAAAAATAACAATATTATTTATTATTTTACTTCTATTATTTATTATTTTACTTTTATTATTTATTTTTTACCTACGTGACTTTACCGAAAAAACCTAAGAGTACAAACAAATGTTGTTGTTGTTATTATTATTATTGCACGTGGTTTGTAACTTGCCTTCACCGTTTCAGGTGCTGGGCAAGTCCTGCAAGCCTATCCCAGGTGAGACACGGCGCTGTCAAACGTATCTATGTTGAACTTCTTTCGCACCGTACGTAGCCAACCGTGCTCATCGACACGTTTTACATTACACGTTGGCAGTGACTTTAATGCCGGTGTTCATGCCGGAGCTGTCGAAAGTTGCACGACTTAATTATGGCCTGCAACTGCTTTGTCTGCATCCGTAGAGAGAGAGTAGTTGCTCAACCAGGGCATGTTTCTTGACATATGGCCACCCACTTCCCTCCCACCCACGTGACGTGGCATGGCAGAGCGTGCATGTTGCACGTCGAGGTGTAGTGTAGCGGGCGGCATGGTCCGCCGTTCCTCGTGAATGACGGACCCTCTGGAGGTGCAAGCATTTGGATCGGGGGGGGGGGATCGTTTACAATCCAAGACGACCACATTGGCTGTTACAGGGCGTGCAAGGACGATGACGCGTCACATAGTAGGTTTTTACCCTATTAAACTGGTACAAAACTTACACCTTTATACATGCATCATGTTTGCAATAACCGCAACACAAGCAGTCAAAATGCAAACAAAAAGAAACAACTCTGATAATGGTAATGATATGCACTGTCCTTGAAGTTGATTGGTCCACACCCGAGACAGCTTTCCTGAGAGCCTAGTCTCCATTGGTGTTGGACCAGATGACGCCAAAAGGCCTTGTATAAAGGTGTCAGTTTTGTACCAGTTTAAAGGGTAAAACCTACTACTATATTTTGCCACTGGTAAAGGTCTCGTAGTGATGACGCGTCCATTAACCGTTTTTAAAATAGATTGCGCTCGTGTCTGCGCGCAGCGAACATTGCACGAAGGCGATGAGCCTGGCTTTTAAGTGCCGGCTTCAAGTGTTGCTTGCAGCTGCTGGCACCGTCAGATGCCGGGAGAGCTCTAGGGATGTGACCTCTTAATTTCAAGCGCTCTCGATGAAATGTCCGGGTGGTTCAGCGGTTAATACGCGCGTTTGCGCACCGATGTATATGGAACGTGTTGCCCGCCGCGCTCATCGTGGGTCTGCGAGTTCAAATCCTGGCTGTGGCTTGGCACGTCCATCCCCTCGGGGTGGATAACAATGCCGAGCTCCGTGATGGAGAGAGAAAGAAAACTGAGTGATGCGATCCGGATTCGATTGGTTTTCACTTGCTTGTGACTTTAGCAATGTATCTAGTTTAGATTTAAAGCTTTCGTGACTGCAGGGATTCATATTCTGGGTTCTTTCGGTAAAATCACGTAGAAGGGAAATAACATTTTGTTTAATTTTTATTATTTTGTTATTTCCCTTCTACGTGACTTTATCGAAAGAACCAAGAATATAATATATCTAGTGTCCGGAGACTTTGGCCCCAGTGGCAGTGGCGATGGCTACGCACGTGTCCTGTAATCCAGCACTGGGGCGCGCCAAGTGAGGTCTGGGTGGGGGAGGGAGGCAGGCAGTTTTACAGGTAGGAACAACAGTTCCACACTGCCTACCAGGGATTCTGTCTGTCGTGCATAGCCACGCCCTCGATTTGTATTTCATAGAGCGCTTCGGGCGGGCTCGGCACCACGTGACGCGCCGCCCCACGCAGCTTGCGCCGCGTGACACGGATCGCACGAATGCGCCGTCCAACCAAGTTCCTACCGGCCCACTCCGAAGGAACGTGTTGTGGATGCAGTTTCTAGAAATCCTCTCCGCCTCTGTCCACCCAGCGGTATAAACGGGGACGCCGCAGGAGATCGGCGGGTAGCGTGTGGTGTTGCTTCAAGACGTCCCGCCCAGCGTGGAAGAGAAGGCCAAAGGCCGTCTGGAGAGGGCACTCGAGCTCTGTCGAGTGGAGGCGCTTGCAGCAGCAGCAGTGGAGCGAGCAAGAAATTGCAGGGCTGCACCTTTGCCCGCCTCGATTGAAGTGTCATTTCGATTAATTCCAAAAGAGGACCAGGGAAAGGGAAGCTCTTACGCACGCACTGCCCCCCCTTAGACCGCGTCATGCCACACACGACACACGGATGCGTAACCGTCGGACCACAACGAACCACGTTCAGGGAGGCGCCACGCAGCACACCCAAGTTGCTCACCCTGCCGCCCCCCCCCCCCTCCCCGCCCTGCCACCCCCCCCCCCTCCTCCTCGCCCTGCAGTGATGATCCTGGGGGTGCTGCTGGCGCGCAAGCGGTACCCGCTCATCAAGTACCTGTGCGTGCTGCTCATCGTCGTCGGCGTCGCCATGTTCCTCTACAAGGGGAAGGGCGGCGCCAAGGGTGGCGGCGGGGGCGGCCCTGAGCAGGGCTACCTGGGCTACGGCGAAATTCTGCTGGTGAGGACTGCACAGCACGAAGACCCCCCCCCCCTCCCTCCCCGCTGGGGCGATCCCCCCCCAGCATTGGTGTCGTCGTTGTCGCCGTGGTCATTCACGGTTTATTATTCACTAATACTGGTAGGAACCTCCTGGTTACACCGGCCCACAGGGGATTATTGTGGCCGTCCATCCGTCGTGCATCCAAAAATGGGAGGGGTGGGGCTGGGTGGAGAGGGGAGGGGCTTGGTGTGAGGGGCTTGGTGTGGAGGGGCTTGGTGTGGAGGGGCTTGGTGTGGAGGGGCTTGGTGTGGAGGGGCTGGGTGGGGAGGGGTGGGGAGGGGCTGGGTGGGGAGGGGAGGGGCTTGGTGATGGGCTGGGTGGAGAGGGGAGGGGCTGTTGAGTGGGGAGGGGCTGGGTGGGGCGAGGGGCTGGGTGGGGGGTGGGAGGGGTGGGGAGGGGCTGGTCACCCCGTGGTGCCCTTATAAAACTCAACGTTTAACCTACTCACGCCGGCTTGTGCTCGCCCTCACAGTCAGCCATATTTGCGGAATACACCACGCCGCCGTTGACCCTACAGGCCATTGACCGAGCAACCCAACGTTCCTACCAGCTCCCTCCGCAGGACAATGTGTTTTAACGATGCGCGCGGTTTGTACAACCTCGGCCTGTAAGCCGAGGGAGAGGCTTTGTTGCTGCACCTCGCCCCTGGTGCCTCACTGCTTGCGTCTCGGTGGGCGGCGGGGGTCCAGTTGGTGTCCCTGACGCTGGACGGGCTGACGGGCGTCACCCAGGACAAGATGAAGTCTCGCCACCAGACGGGGTCGCACCACATGATGCTCAACGTGAACCTGTGGTCGTCGCTGCTGCTGGGAGTGGGTACGTGCCCGTGTGTGTGTGTGTGGCGTGGTAGTCCAGTGGCTACGTGCATTGTGCTGCGTACCCGGCGACCCGAGGTCAACATCGGCGACGATTATCCGAACCGGTCCCGAGCCGCCTACTCTAGGTTGAGCGTGTACGTTGAACTTCTTTCGCACCGTACGTAGCCAACCGTGCGAGTCGGAGGTGCGAATACCTGGTGCGGTGGCTAAACGTCAGCACTGGGAAGACAAAGGTGGCCGGGAGTGGGTGCTCGCCCATCCACTCCATCTCGTGGCGGCCTTCATTAGATGCTTCCTCGCTGCATTGGTCCCAACAGCCTGTTTAAGGCGATACGGGAGATCTTTGTGCGCACGGGAGTCCTGGAATGGTCCGGTGTAAGACTCGCAGCAGGGCGACCCGTGTCCTCGTGTGTTGTGTCGACGTCCTCCTCCGCGTTGTTACGCGAAAAGCCACGGCCACGTTCTGCTCGTCACCAGGTCGCGCCGTTGAGGGGTCGAGGGGTCACGGTGTGACGAGGTCGCGGCCTTACCAGGGTCGCGGCGTCACGAGGTCGCGTCCTTGAGGTTACGAGGGGTCACGGTGTGACGAGGTCGCGGCCTTACCAGAGTCGCGGCGTAACGAGATCGCGTCACGAGGTATCGTCGTCGAGTGGTTTCATCCTTAGGAGGTCGCGTCATTAAGAGGCCGCGCGCGGCGCGTTGCGTTGTCCCCGTTGTCCCCGTTGTCGTGCTCGCAGGCGTGCTGGCGACGGGGGAGATCTTCGAGTTTGTGAGCTTCACTGAGCGATACCCGGCCATCCTCTACAAAATCCTGCTCTTCAGCATCACCAGCGCCCTCGGACAGGCACGTCCAACAGACTCGCTTGCAAAGACACACGCACGCACACAGACACGCGCACAAACTACCGCTTGCTCGCGCCACTGCTGGCGCGAGGGCCCTCACTAATGGGAGCTCAAGATAACCCCTCCGGAGAGGGTATTTGGCCGGTTCTTCCAGACTAACCCGACGACAACTGCCGGGTGGTTGTTGTTGTTGTCGTCTCCGCCGTAGAATTTCATCTTCATGACGGTGGTGTCGTTCGGGCCGCTCACGTGCTCCATCATCACGACGACGCGAAAGTTCTTCACCATCCTCGCCTCCGTGCTGCTCTTCTCCAACCCCATGTCCAGCTTCCAGTGGGCGGGAACCGTCCTCGTATTCATGGGTGCGTGGGGCGCACGGGGACACGCGGGTGGGGGAGTGGTGTGGCGTGGAGACAGGGCGACGCAACATCGACAGGAACACGGAGGGGTTGGTTTGAAGCTTTCGTGACTGCAAGGATTCATATTCTTATGTTTCTTCGGTAAAGTCACGTAGGTAAAAAAATTAAAAATTAATTAAAGTAAAATAAAAATAAAATAATCACGACGTTTCGGAGGCAACACAAGCTTCCGTCTTCAGGTGGAACCGTCACAACACGACTGCTGCATCAAGTAAGAGAAATTCCAAGAAAACAGTCCTTGTATATATACTGGGTGAGGGTGGGAGGAGCCATTGTGAGGTTCGGTGCGGCTGAAGCACGCTGCAAGGAATGAGCCTCTGTTGTGTAGACTGGTTGAAATGGGAGGTTCCAAGAGTTGTTAAGGTGCGGCTGATGTAAAGGTGCGGTTGCTGTAAATGGGACTGAGCCTTTGTTATGTCGAGGTGGTGCGGCTGAAACCTCTGTTAGGAATGATGGGTTGGTGGGGACACACGAGGAATGGTGACATGAGGGAGGGAGGGTTTGATGGGGACACGAGAGAGAGGGGCGGATACTGAGGGACAGACGAGAGAACCCCGGGACTTGGGGCTAACGAACGCAGGGACGTTAAATGGCGTCTGCGACAAAGGGCTTCGTAGCGCATCGGATTCCTCCAGTTTAAATAAAGATTATGAAAGGTATGGTGAGAAAAGGGGGGGGGGGTATGGTGACATGGGAGACACCAGGACAAGGTGGTGGGGGGGGGAGACAAGAGACAGGGCATGAAACGCAGGGATGAGAGGCATGGAACAACAACGGCACGCTGCGCAAGCAAGCGACGCTGGCTCTGACGTACCAGCGGAAGAAACGAGTGAGGACCGCGTGGGGAGCGGTAGTGCAGCGCTTGGCGCTACAAACCTGGCGACTCGAGTTCGATTACCGCTCACGGCTAACACCCGTGGTGAATACCTGGGTTGACACGGCCTCAAATGAGTACTTGGTTTTGTGTGTAAACGTCGCCACCGGGGAGACAAAGACGGCCGGGCGTGGTGTCGGCCACCCACCCCCTCGCGTGCCGTGCCGGCCTTCGCAGCCGCTCGCGAACAGCACTTGCCCCAACAGTCTGTTCAGGCTATACAGGCGGGGGATGGATCTTTGTGTGTTTCCGCAGGCCTCGGCATGGACTCGTTATACGGAAAGGTCCCCAAGAAAGTTTGAGGCCACCGACAGCGCAAGCCATCGAGCACGGCTCTCTGCTGGGACCAAGTCTCACCCCTGCTCCTGCTGATCTGCACGCCCCCCCCTCAACCCCTCAACCTGCGCCTCTTATCTCTCCTTTGCACTCCTCCGTCAACTGCGCCCCGCTCTCTAATTACATGCCTTGTTTTATCCCAGCAAAGCCTCGGCACTCATATTTTATTTATTTTTTTGCGTACGAGAAGGGACCCTCTTGCCATACTGGGATGTTTGGACAATTCCGTTTGGCTTCGTGCGGTCAGAACGAAACCGGTGGACAACCCCGGAGAAAACCTCGCACCCGTCCCAAGAGGGGTGGGTCAAGGGTGACACTTGGCGTCACGTGCAGATAAAACTGAAGGATCCGTTGGTGCCATCTCGTGGTCGCTGCCTCGCAGCCCGAGTCTACACCACGTGGTATCCCCAGGCAGTTTCCCATCCACACACTCGCCAGGCTCAAGTCTGCTTAGCTTCTAAGTTGCCCTCCTTGACACTTAGTGCCTATACCGGTCGACCGCTTACTCCTCTGCTGGCTCGTCTCCACTGACCACCGTCAATGCCGCTCTCTCCCGATCCCCGCTCCATCCACCTTACCCTTCCACCCGTTACTTACCCCCACACAACAACCCTTCAAAGTTTCTCTTTCCCAACCAGTTTATTTCACTATTTATTTGTTTCCCTATTTCACATCAACCCTGTCGTCCTCGCTGGGCGTTCCTGCGCGAGGTGGAAACGGCGACTTGGTGAAGCCGGTGGGGGACGTTGGCGCCCCCCTCTCTCCCCGGCGTCCCTCCGACCAAGCGGCGGTGCGGCACGCACGTAAGGAGGCACGCGGAGAGAACCACCGCGCAAGTCTCTCTCTCTCTCGCGCGCGTGCCGTCCAACGGACTCCACCAACGGAGCACTTTCGTCTGGGGTGGGGGGAGGCTGGGGGGAAAAGGAATCACTTTCTCCATCGGACTGACTTTATTTAAAAATACCGTCAAGTAATTTTAATATTGCCGCGTGGCGGGTGTCTTGAGTTTTTGTTTTTAATTGTCGTTGCGTGCGTGTAAAATGATCGTACGGGCGTCGCTACTCCGGAGACTTTTGCGCGCGCTTTGATAATCATGAAGATGATCGTTTCCCATCACTTGGTTCCCTTTATGCTAGGAGCACCGAACATCTCATCTCGATGCACTTGAAAAGGGATTTCATCTGCAGGAAAGGGGTAGTACAAAACAATTATGGATTCTTGCCAGCGAGGCCCCAGGCAGATCTTCACCGTTCACCAGCAGATGACCTGTCGTCTCGTGGTTAATACGCCTGCAGGATTAACCAGGGCGGCCACACCACTTGAACTGTGAACCTCCTAACTAGCAGCAGCTACTGCTGGCCTGTGTGTGGCAGCTGAGACCGGCACAGCTTTGCATCTCGTGCCCCCCTCCAAGCCACCTGTGGGCCAGTTGGATTGAAACATTTGATGTGGAACTTCCCCCTTTGTTCGTGGTGCGATTCCAAGCGATCAAAGGAAAAGCCTCACGGGAAGCACTGCCAGCCCTCTGCAGCTGCCCAATCACTGTTAGGCCCTGGTCAAGAGGTGGGAGAAAATTATAGCTGAGAGCCAGAGACTGTGAACGAGTGCTTTTGTTGTCCATTGTGAAATAAACCCCCCCCCCTCCTCCCATTATCACTTTCTCCCTGCTGGTGGCGCGTGTACATTTCTGCGCGCGGCGCTTTCGCGTTCATGGTGGAGTGGGTGATTTTACTGGTAGGAACGAAGTGAACCAGCCTACAATAGATTATATCGTCCGTCCGATGTCCGATTAGATGTAGCAACATCGCCCCCTACTGCAAACACTTGGCAGGACCCTACAAAAAACCTTTAGACTTAGTGAGGCTGTCCTGGCTAAACAAGTGTAACATTCCCTTATAATTCCCTCAGATAGGTTTTAATTAAATGTTCGTATCGTCCGATTAGGTGTAGCAACATCGCCCCCTACTGCAAACACTTGGTAGGACCCTACAAAAACCTTTCGACTCTGAGGCTTTCCTGGCTAAATAAGTGTAATAATACATTATTTATATTCTTTGGTTATTCGTTCCTACCAGCCCACCCCGCAGGGACCTGTTTGCAAGTGCGCCACCTGCTGGTGCAGTTTGACACGTGGTAGGCTTTTGAGACGAATATTCATAATGAAGGTTGTTGGGTTACAGTGTGTAAGTATAAATGTTCGTCTGCCACCAACCAAAACAGCCAACCAGTAAGGTTTGTCATGCAAACAAAACGTGCCAATTAGTTTATGGTTTAGACGACCGCTGTATTGGAGAGTAAATCCACAACATTAAGCGTTTCGTTATGACGTTTCGCTGGTAATTGCATCCAGCATCATGGGTCAATGTACTTACCAGCGAAACGTCACAGGTACTCAATTGTAAATGTGGATTTTACTCTCCCACACACCAGTGAGCTGAACTAGTAACTAATTGGCTGTGTCGGGTGGTGGTGGGTGACCTAACCCTAAAAAAACCCTTTATGAATCACAAGTGTTTAGCTTTACATTCAAATTGCTATGGTGGCTTCCTGGAATTTCTCCTGCCTGGTTTGAGAAGGCAGCATCTTTAGGCAAGAGGGGAGGGGTGGGGGGCCTCTTTGCTGGGTGTGTTAAGAGGATACTCGAGAAATCCACTCTGTCACTGCGTGCAACTCCCTCTGCACCACAGAGGCGACAGTTTAACACAATTTCGTAATTTTAATGAAACTTTTGCGCAACATTTTTCCGATACAAAGTTACATGCAATGAAGACGCACACGTTCAACTTCAGATTTAGTTCATAGTCTTGGTACAAAGGGAAAACATCACTCGACAGTTTTTTTTTTTAAATCCCCAAAACGGCCCAAAAGTTCACCTCCAGTGCGCTCACCTCCGTAAGAAAGAACCCACCACCCCTCTGGTTCTATCCAACAAATGAACACTCGGACACAATATTTTCCACTCCCGATTTGGGAAAGAATAAAAAGCCAGCGATTCCCTGCTCCCAATGAGTAACGTTAGAGGGCATTGGTGCAAAAAAAAAGATCTGCTTCACAGCTCTGCAGAAGCCAGTGGTGGACATTCCACCTGACTATGACGGGGCCGGATTGACAGGCGGCCACAGAGGGAGGGAGAGAAGAGCCTGTGACAACTGGAGTTTGAAAAGCAACGACTTAAGAAAATATCATTCGCAATTCCCAGCCCTGGTGGGCCATAAATTCATAGTTGAGACGCCCCCCACCCACCCACCAGTTGAAAAAGGGATTCATTCATTCATTCCGTCGCATTGTAAACTTGTACGTGTATTTTCCAGGAACGCCAACGAATGCACATTTGTGGGGAGCGTACGCACGCTCACGCACGCTCACACAAGCAACCAACGTGCATGGGTGCCGAAACAGAATTATTCGCGAGCACCCGTTGATGTTAACCATGGCGGAGGAAGTAACACCTTTTCTTCAGAAGTTCCAACAAGGGGTCGCGCACCAAAGACGTCAACATTGAACGATTAGATGCATGCTATGTTCTTAATTAAAATCAAGAATCATAACCCAAGATGTCTAAAACTAAAAGGAAAGTAAAGAGTTGGGCCTTGTGGAATTGTAAGACCGTTGAGGTTATTGTAGTGGGTTAAGGTAATATCGTTGAGGCGTAACAATGCAACTCTTCTCGGCTCACAATGAATTCCCACCATCCGTCGAATCGATTTACTTCGTGGTGGCGAATGCAAGCGTTCTTGTAGCAGCTGGTGCAACATGACCCCACAGCCACACAACATGACCCCACAGACACACAACATGACCCCACAACAGACACACATGACCCCACAGACACACAACATGACCCCACAACAGACACAGACACACAACATGACCCCACAGACACACATGACCCCACAACAGACACACAACATGATCCCACAACAGACACACATGACCCCGTGACAACATACATTCCACTCAAACCTTCCACTCAAGGCCTTCCCTTCCCTCAAGTCACATCGGTCGTTGAAAAGGGCCAGGATCAGTTCGGATACTCGTCACGGAGTTTGCCGCGGCCGGGAATCTAACCCCAGGGGTCGGCAGATTCACAGCGCGGGCGAGCTAAGCCACCGGCGGAGTCACCGCTCCACCCCATGTACAACAGACGAATCGAGAAACATGGAGAGCTATATAAAGACGCACGCGATTCGTGCATCACAAGGCAGCGAACGTGAGACCCCCCCTAATCAGACTGCAGCACTCTCCCACCACCCACCTCGTCACACGAGGGCTTGTGGCAAGCTTTTGCATCAACTCCCAACTCGAGCGGGAACCAAAGCTCCCCCGTATAGCCTCTAACAGACTTGGGGCAAGTCCTGTTCGCGAGCACCTATGAAGGCCGGCACGGCACAAGAGGGGGGGTGGGTGGTCGGCACCACGCCCGGCCGCCTGTCTCCCCAGTGGCAGTGTTTACACACCGCACCAGGTACTCATTCGATGCCGAGTCTACCTATGGGAGGAGGCCCAGGACATGGTTTAGACAATCGTCACTGGTGTCAAACCTGGCTCGCTGGGGTTCGTAGCACTGTGCTAACCGCTGCGCCACCGCTCACACACACACACTGGCCTCTTGTTCGTCATGAAGGCGGTTGGGGGCGGTGGGGGCACGGCACACACAGTTACCTCCATTAACAGAAATGACCTAAAGGCAAGCGGGGGGGGGGGGGGGGGTTGGCAACCAAAATAAACAACTCAACGTCTCAAAAAGGAGTTGCAATGCACGCGCTAGTACGTCCGTACATTACTTCACAAAGCAGTTCCTTTTTGTTAAAGCTCCACACGCGGCTCCGGAAAGCCACCGCGGGTGGGGGGGGGGAGTTGCCAACGCCCCTGAGAGCTCGGGTAAGAAGTCTCAAAAAGAGTGGTGGTCAGGACGCAGCAGCGGTCCCCGGTTTGGCCGCATGTTGCGGCAGAGAGCAGAGGGGGTGAATGAAGATCAAGGCCTGGGCCCGTAGCTCGAACACGGATTTAAAAAAAACTACTTCAGTGGAGCTAGAATCAGGGGTATAAGAATGGTTATAAGGCTGAAACTTTAGGCCCGTCTTGGTTTGTTCCTTGTGTTGGGGGAGTCAAGGCTACAAAGCCACAGGTCCTACTCTCCTTGTAAATGCCCTCTGTGGCACAATGAAGCGCTGTAGAAAACAAAAGGCCAAACTCAACGCCCGACTGCGCGCAGAGGAGGAATGCTGTAAACGTGAATTCAAGACGAGTCGCTACAGTCGCGGGTCCGGTCTCTTGCTTCAAGGGCCAGGGGCGTGCAAACCAGAGCCATCCGGTATGCGAATCAAACAGTTGTCGAAGTCACGCAACAGAAAAAAAAGAAAAACGGCCTCATTATTACGCGTTGAAGTCTCCGGTTGCAGAGACGTCCGTGCAACCAAAAGGCGAAGTTGCATGCAACACAGTTGCGCGCAAATCGATCGTCCGGCAGCGCAAGCCGACTTTAGGCGTGGGTTCACACTGGGTCGTTCGACTTCACAGGGTTGGTGGTGGTGGCGGTGGTGGCTCTTCCTCTGGCAATGGGGACCGTCAAGACACACACAGCCGCCTCGCTCGGTGGACAAGCAGCCTGGCTGCGTTTCCACCCCTCACCCTCGAAACGGCTGCCGGTTCACCCAACTTTTACCCGTGCCTTCTGAAGTTCAACCGAGCGAACGGATCGCATTTCGCGGCACATCAGGTGTACAACCAACGCGCTACATCGCTTGAGCGACGCTTCGGCGACTCGTGAAGTTGAACCGGGTGTTGCGAGTGAACCCACGAGAAGGTCGACAGGAGCGACCGTCAGAAGTGGCACGGGGCCCCCCTCACCTCAACACGCTCGCCCTCCCTCAACCCACACCCAAACGATACCTCTCATCCACATTGCACCTGCAGGTTATTCAGCAGCACAACGCCGAGCAAAACCTTAAAAAGCAAACTCCCCGGGTGTCGCTTCTGCCGTCAAAAGGGGATGGGGGGGGGAGCCGGGAAGAAGGGCAGGCGTGCGAGCCGCCCGCTTCGTAGGACGCAGGGCAGCGAGCGTTTGACCTGTTGCCATTCGCGAGCCGCGACGGTCGCCGCTGTTGTCCTCAATTCGCGTGTGGCCACCCAGCCGACCCCCCCACAAGCGGGAAAAACTTCTTCGCTCGTAGGCGAGCCCGAGACAAACAAACGAAAAACAAACGAAAATAAAAAACAACAGCGTCCGGCTTCTCGCTGTTGCCCAACACGGCTTCTCGCTGCTGCCCAGCACCTGCCGATTAGCGCGCTCGGCTACGCACGGCGCGAGAGAATGCTCAACGGGATCACGCGCGCAACATTCGGCGCGAGTCCGGTTTGCATTTTCCACGGCAGGTCGGTCTCGTCGACAGACTGCGGGAAGAATCGGCCAAGGCTTGGGGCGTGCGGATTTCGTGCAGCCATTCGCCACAATCAGGTCAAGCAAGTCAGCTAAATATTTGTCTACGCGAAGTCATTCAGCACACGGTTTGATCTTCCTCCGTACCGCTGCAGTCTCTAACAACGTTAACTAAATTATCTTCGCCTCCCGTCTTCATTGAACGTCGTTATAACTTGCGTCTCGTCAGGTCAAGCTTTGGTCTCTTGTTTTTTTTGTGTTTGCCGTCCACAATCGCCGACGAAAATAAACGCTCCCGACGAACGGTTTTCGCCGCCGATCCCGGTTGACGCACGTCACCGCCGGCGTCATCGCACCGTGCAACCGCAGAGCATCAACTCCCCGAGCTGGCGCTTATAACTCGTTCGCAAGCCCCCCCCCCCTCCACCACCCCACCATCATTGGGACACTCCAGAAAACACTTTTCATAATCCACGACCGCGGGGTAGTGCGCGGCAAACTTGGCAACGACTGCGATGATCGCGTCAGGCTCTCCCGACGCGATCATCGCTTTCGTCGTGTCGTCGTCATGCTCGGGGCTGCGGCTTTCGTTTTGGTCACGGCGTCGGGGACTCGCGTTTCGGCAGATGGACGGTGCCGAGTGGCGGCGCGGGCGGACGGGCGGGCGACACCGAACCCCTGGGAGGTTCCGATTCTCCACGACCCTCGGGCGGCCCCAGCGAAGGGCGACGGGAAACGCGTGGGGCCGGGGAGCGGTCTCACTGCGCCAACCAACAGGGTCCGACCCCCCGACCCCCCCCCTACCCCCAACGTACAAGGTGGCACGGAGCGACAGGCAGATGTCACGGGGTGATCATTGAACTAAAAGGCGAGGAAGTTGAGAAGGGTCGGGGGGACGGAGCACACCAGGACAATTAGCGACGAGGACTCCCCCCCCCCCCCCCCAATGCGTCCACTAAACGAGCGAACCCGACCAACGACACGAGCCACGACCCTCAACTCCGACCACATCACCGGACGAGAGCCTCCTCCCAAACCCAAACGAACCAGCCAATCAGATCCCAGCGATCTCACGAACCGCAAACCAAACTTGTCACGGCCTAACCAGCCACCATCCCCGCTCCTAGTCCTAACGAACCAAAACGGCGAGCAGTAGCACTGTGGCGAGCTCGCCTCACCCCCGCCGCCCATCTCGACGCTTACCGCTGCCGGCCACTTTGCGCGTTCCAGCTCGCTTCCTACTGGAGGTGTTCACACCGCTCGTGAAACGGCACGTCGGCTTGCGCGTTGTTGTTGTTTTTGGGTCGACAGGCAACGGCAGCAGAAATTAGAACGCAATTTCACTCGGCAACTCCCCCCTCCGTCCGGGAGGGGAGGTCCCCAACTTTATTGTGAGCTCGGCGCGCAGTCGCCGACAGTAACCAGGGTCGCTCTCCAACCGTGACGGTGACTCCGCCAGTTGGCACGAAACGCAACAACAACCACCACCATCACTACCACCACCACTACCACCATCACTGGCACTAACCAGTGTAAACGGGGGGGGGGGGGGGGGGGTGCAGAAATTTAATTTGGTCGACCCAAAATACAACATCCACCCTTCATTTTATCGAATTTCGACGCGTATCGTCGGCTACTTTAATGCACGAGCATCAAGTCCATGAGGAACGATAATCACGAGCTCATCCACGGTCCTCGCGCTGAATAACAGTCCCCCCCTCCCTCCCCTCACTCCCTCTCCCCTCACTCCTCTCTCCCCTCACTCCCCTCTCCCCTCACTCCCTCTCCCCTCACTCCCTCTCCCCTCACTCCCTCTCCCCTCACTCCCTCTCCCCTCACTCCCTCTCCCCTCCTCCCTCTCCCCTCACTCCCTCTCCCCTCACTCCCTCTCCCCTCACTCCCTCTCCCCTCACCTCCTCTCCCCTCACTCCCTCTCCCCTCACTCCCTCTCCCCTCACTCCCTCATCCCCTCACTCCCTCTCCCCTCACTCCCTCTCCCCTCACTCCCTCTCCCCTCACTCCCTCTCCCCTCACTCCCTCTCCCCTCACTCCCTCTCCCCTCACTCCCTCTCTCCCTCACTCCCTCTCCCCTCACTCCCCTCTCCCCTCACTCCCTCTCCCTCACTCCCTCTCCCCTCACTCCCTCTCCCCTCACTCCCTCTCCCCACTCCCTCTCCCCTCACTCCCTCTCCCCTCACTCCCTCTCCCCTCACTCCCCTCTCCCCTCACTCCCTCTCCCCTCACTCCCTCTCCCCTCACTCCCTCTCCCCTCACTCCCTCTCCCCTCACTCCCTCTCCTCACTCCCCTCCCTCCCCTCACTCCCTCTCCCCTCACTCCCTCTCTCCTCACTCCCTCTCCCCTCACTCCCTCTCCCCTCACTCCCTCTCCTCACTCCCTCTCCCCTCACTCCTCTCTCCTCCTCCCTCTCCCCTCACTCCCTCTCCCCTCACTCCCTCTCTCCTCACTCCCTCTCCCCTCACTCCCTCTCTCCTCACTCCCTCTCCCCTCACTCCCTCTCCCTCACTCTCCCTCTCCCCTCACTCCTCTCCCCTCTCCCTCTTCCCCTCACTCCCTCTCCCCTCACTTCCCTCTCCCCTCACTCCCTCTCCCTCCACTCCCTCCTCCCCTCACTCCCTCTCCCCTCACTCCCCCTCTCCCCTCACTCCCTCTCCCCCACTCCTCTCCCCTCCTCCTCTCTCCCTCACTCCTCTGCCTCATCACTCCCCCTCACTCCCTCTCCCATCAACTCCCTCTCCCCTCACTCCCTCTCACTCACTCCCATCTCCCCTCACTCTCCCTCTCCCCTCACTCCCTCTCCCCCTCACTCCCTTATCCATCACCCCTCTCCCCCTCACGCCCTCTCCCCCTCACTCACTCTCCCCTCACTTCCTTCCCCGCACTCCTCTCCCCTCACTCCCTCACCTCACTCCCCTCTCCCCCCTCACTCCCTCTCCCCACTAACCTCTCCCACTAACCTCTCCCCCTTCACCTCTCCTCACTCTCCGTCTCGTCCATCCCTTGCTCCGAGCTCACGTTCCTTTCATCCTCATCCCCAGAGTTCCAAGATCCTCGTCCCCCGGTGTCTGTCTCCCCATAATCTCCTTGTGTCTCCCAGCCACCCACCTCGTCTCTGCATCACCCTGTCCTAATACACCCCCCCCTCCACCCGTTCCGATCTCTCGGTCTTCCGCCAACGCCACCCCGTCTGCCCCCCCCGACCGCGACGCGAGTCGCCGTCGCCGTCCTCACGTCCCCGGGTTCCCCTCCGTCCCGAACGCCGAATAAACCGAACGCCTCCCCCCCCTCCCCACTGCCGTGTCCCTTGAATCCCGGCGGCGGGCCTCAGACCGCCGGCCGCATGCCGCGCAGCCTCTTGCGCAGGTTTTCGGCGAAGTCGAGCATGACGCCCGCCAGACTCTGCTGCACCAGGTAGCCGGGCAGCTTGCCCTGCGGAGAGCGCAGCACACACAGCGCGCACGCCGCAACGTCACGAGCCGTCGCAGCCGCTCGCGCGCCCGACTGACGGCGGGGGTTCGGTTACGCAGAGGTGTCGCGGTGGTTAGGAGATGTTAACTACCTCGCCTGGTCTACAGGAGGTCGTGGGTTTGATCCCGACCCTGACGCCTGCTGCTGTATATTTGGAGTTTGCGTGTCTCTCTCTCATCATCATCACGATGGATAGATGTTAACTACCTCGCCTGGTCTACAGGAGGTCGTGGGTTTGATCCTGACCCTGACGCCTGCTGTATATCTGCGTGTTCTTCCTGTGGTAGCGTGGATTTTTCTCTGGGTCCTTCCGGTTTTTACCTCCACATTTGGAATCAACGTGCGTTTTAGAGTATTTGGCTGCGATAAATGTCCACGTGATCATAAGCCACTTTTGGCTGGTAGCCAGGTAGCTTCTGAAAAAAAAAGAGCTATATAGCTCAATGGGCCTTACCTGGTAAAATCATCGTTTAGCTCGCAAACTCTTCTTCGTTTATAACCGCAAAACCCAAGAGCGCGGCCGTTGCAGGACCACGCCGCCAGACGGCCCAGCGGGAGGAGGGAGAACAACTCGCGAGCGCGAGAGAACTGCTCTTGGGCTGTCCGGCAACACAGACTGGAAGCTCGCGGAGCGGCTGATTCGTGTGCTGCTGCTGCTGCCGCCCCGTAGAGGGCGAGGAGGAGGAGGTGGTGGTGGTGGCGGTGGCTTACCTTGAGGTCGGTGTTGAGGATCCAGTGCAGGACGCTCTGCTCGTGGTTGTGCCGATTGCGATCGACGACAAAACCGCCGACCCCGTTCTCTCCACTGCGGGAGACAAAGACACAGATCCCCCCGTGTAGCCTTAGACTGTTGGGGCAAGTGCTGTTAGCGAGCACCTATGAAGGCCGGCATGGCACACGAAGCGGTGGGTGGCCAACAGCACACCCAGCCGCCTTTGTCTCTCCAGTGGCGATCTTGACACGCCACACCAGGTACTCATTTTGTTTAGTCGATCTAGGGGAGGTCCACGACCGGCTCAGATAACCGCGCACACACACGCACGTAAATGTATGTCGTGAAGAATATATGAAGCAGTGTGTATACATCGCAGGAGGCTCGTGAAGGACGCTACCTGGTCAGTATGAGGCAGTCGCCCTCTAACAAATGGGAGGGCAGAGGAGCGACGCTCACAACAACGAGCGGAGCAATGGGCAGCTAAAATGCAGCAAGTTGGCACAGTAGGGGGCACAGGTGGTGCTTCTGCCAGTCATCTCAGTCGGTCAACCCATGGGCACCTGTTGGATCTGTCCCGTGACCTCCTGCGAGCGAGCCTTCGACACTTCACCTGGCCTCAAAGTGCTCCTGGCCTGGCACAGGCGCCGTGGTGATGTCACCGCCATTTAGGTCACGAAATGCGGGTGTTGTTGTTGCCAGTGGGTTGTTGTGACCTGCGGTATGGTGAGTGAGTGGGAGAGCGAGTGGGTGAGTGAGTGGGTTAGCGAGCACATGGGTTATTGTAATCTGCAGTGTGGTGCGTGAACACGGTATGGATGAGACGAAACAGTCAATGTCGGGTAGACCGAGCGAGTGCTCAACTTGGGGGGAGGAATTATCGAAGTCCACGGGAACAGTGATCAGACGGCAGTAGCAATAGCAGTGAAACGCATGCGACTGACCGCCGGTGACTAAACGAGCAGGTGAGCGCGACAGGAGTGAATCTGCGAGTTCTGGATCATCAACCGCCCTATGGTTGGACGCCATCATCAAGTGCACCGAGGTAGGCAAGCAATGTGCTCAATCTCGCTTGCCTACCCTATCTCAGATACAACGACAGCGGTGAAACTTCGGCCGAAGACTGGTTGTGCGCGAACCCCGTGTGCGGGTTTGTGGCGCAGTGGTTATCGTGCCGCGCTACCAACCCTGCAACCCGAGTTGCGATACCCGCTCACGGCCAACACTAAACTGGCGACGATCATCTCAAACGGTCCCGGGCCTCCCCTAGGTCGACCTCGGCCTCCGGCCCGAAAGATTGCAGCCACGATCACGGCGAGTGCAGCGATCGTCACCGATGCCGTCGACCGCGGCGCGTAGCGTACCGTACGATGCCGTCGTGGACCGGCCGGGCGTCGTGAGTCGTCGACATCCCCGAGGATATGAAGCGATCCGGCCGCCTCTCCACTCTCCGCACGGTCACAAAATCCCTGCAGTGGCGGCGACGCACGGTTCAGCACAAACACAATCATACGCAACACTGCATCGGCTACGACAGCCTACACGTTTTAAGTTATCGGAGTTGGTCTTTAAGGGCAAGTGGGGGGAGGATGAAGAGGAGTACGAGGAGGAGGATGAGGAGGCCGACCTGGGAGAGATGAGGCCCCGCGCGGCGCTGGCAGCCACCTCGTAAGTGACGAAGGTGTGATCCTCAACCCGCTGCAGCACCTGCACACAAAGACAGAGACCCCCCCCCACGGAAAACCTTAACAGACTGCTGGGGGCAAGTGGCACTACACCCGGCCGCCTTTGTCTCCCCAGGGCTGATGTTTGTTACACGGCGGGACGGGTACCTGTCCGTTCAAGGGGGACCCGGACCTACGGGGGAGAGCCCTCCCCCTTCCTCCCAGGACTGGTTCAGATGGTAGTCGCCCCATGTTGGTCGTGAGCGAGAAACGAACTCGCGTTCCCGGAAATGCACAAACGCTAATGCTCCCCCCCCACTACACTACCGCTGCCCGCAACCTCCACACACGCAGAGGACTGCGTTACCCGCCGACCGGCTGACCGACAAGAATGTACGAATGGCTTCAGTGAACGGCTCGATTTCCTGTCTGGCCGAATAATTGACTGTAACGAGGGAATGGATGACCGAATGAACACGTGAACGACTGGTACGGCGGGACTTCACGACTACTGGATGAGCAAACGACCGAGCGAACACGCAGAACGACGACTGAGATCATCGAGCGGATGACCGAAATAGCGACTCGCTTGAGCAAAATACCGACCGGCGGAAATAACGGGAAAGACGCCCGAGTCCGTGGACTCGGGACGACCGTGCGGACGAAACGAACTGCTCGCCCCTGCCGTCCCCCCCCTATCCACCACCCCATGTGCGCACGCACGCACGTGTAGTGACATAAGAGGGGAGGGGCTGCTGGGGGCTCTGGGACCCTAGGCAACCCAGACGCTTAAGCCCCTTGGCGCTAGGCGCTGGGATCCCAGACAACCCAGCCAGTTAAGCCCCTTGGCACCACCAACGGGGGGGGGGGGCTGTATGTGCTCTGTGGGATATCTGGGGGCGCACACAACCCCACCCCTCGTTGGGGACGAGGCATAAAAGGGCAGCTCCCTGGCCGATCAGGGCCAGTTGTAGCTCAAGACCCAAGACCAGCCATCTCAGGACCCTGGGACGCTATGAGGGCCAGTGGTGGGACTGGAACTCCCGGCTCTACGTCCTTGTGAGGGTGAGTTCCAGAGCATAGCCAGAGTAGTGTATCTAGGCTGCGTGTCTAGGCTGTAACAGAGTATCAGGACTGTTGGAGTATTGGATTGTAATAAAGAAGTTACCTCTCCAAGTGTCTCCGGAACCCATTACACACGCACACGCGCACGCGCGCACCTGGCTCTCCGTGATGGCCTTGTTCCACTGCGGCATCGCCTCGATGTTCACGACCACTTCGTCAAACACCGCCTCAGGGGTGGCATCCAGCACGGCCTGCGAGCACCCGTCCCAAGTAACCGCGTCACGCGCACAATCCACCAACCCTCACACGAGGGGCATCGTCACCTCGCCCCGTGTCGACTGGCAACCGCAGTTTGGTGATAAACCGGCGCTGAAATACATGCTCACGTGATGGTAATGATGGTCGTAACGACGCCTTTTTTATTTAAACCGCGAAAGTCTCGCCGAGTCTCCGGGTAAATTTATTTCAGGAGGATCCTGCGCACTGGAATGTTTACCCAAATCCATTTGTGAAAACTGTGCACGTGGGATAGACATTGGAGCACCCGGAGTAAACGCACGTAAAGATGGATTCGAAATTCCACTGATTTTGCTGCCATCTTCATCGCCACGTCCCCAGCCTACGCTGCCTGGTATTACTAGACCGTCTTCCATTAATTCTAGTTCGAACCAGGGTCACAGCCCTGCTTAGCCTCCAAGATCTGAACAGCCCTGGTGGCGGCAGATTTTTTTTTTTGCTCCACATGCGACTTGCCGATCGACGAAAGGGCGCACGCCACACTTTCAGCTCTCTGCCGAGTTGGTGGTCTAGACAAGGCTGAGAGCTGTACATGCAATGGTGGTGATCACACATGGCGTGCACGCAAGGCACTCGTACAGCAGTCGTGCCGTCCTGCCTTCCTGCTCTGCGAGCAGTGCACCCTTTTTGCGCGACGACATTTCTAATTGTTACCAGCCCGCACGCGTTTCCTCACGTTGCGATGGGCTCTCTCAATTACCGACGCAAAAGTGTTGGATGGGAGTGAGGGTCCGTGACGGTGCGGTGCAGTGGGTGCAATCGACCTTGAGGACGTAGGTTCGCCCGTAGCCAGTGACGTCCGTGATGTAAATCACGTCTCCATACTCCTGCATCGGCAAACAAAACGACAAAGATCCCACGAAGAGCCTTCGACAGACTTCGGGAGCAAGTGCTGCGAGCGAGTCACACGTGTCGGCCGAGTGGCCAGCGCCAGGCCCACCGGCGTGGAAGGGCCCTTCACTGTAAAGCAGCTCCTCCAGAGCAGAGCAGTGGTTCTTAACATTTACCGCAGCCTTGGTTCTCAATCGTAACACAAAATTACGTTACTAAATACATCGGGTTTGACGAAACAAAGTTGTAACTTGCGTGCCCGTGCTTCGTTTGTGTTGCGATGATTTACCTAAAAAAAAAACCTGGCCATGTCCCGCAAGCCCAGAAAGGGCATCTCCCGCCCCCAGCGGGTGTGTGCATCCCAGATGAAGAACCACTGCTCTAAAGGCCATCTCTGGCCCCACTCTTCCACGCAGGCCACAAGTCTTGCCAGAGGTGGGAGTAACCCACAATTTACCTCACCGCACGCGATCGACTCCGCGCTGTACTCATCTACACTCCTGGGCGGGATAGAGCTGGTGAGGGTGGGGGCGGGGCATTTTTAAATCCTTTATATTAAGTTCGCTTGCTTGCTTGCGTGCTTGCTTACGACCGTGCAAATCTTTCGGTCGTTTTTTAACCCACTTCCCGTGATCCAATCGAGCTGACATTTCCCACACAGACTCGTTATGCGTGACAATTAATGTTCGTGAAATTTTTTTTCCAAAATTTTACACTTTTTAGGACAAAAAAATTATATCTAATTACCAATTGCTTAATGCTGCCATGCAATCATCTGACCCATAGGTGGCAGCCATCTCAAGCCAGAGGACGAGAGGACTCTAGCTGCCACGCATATAATGGATTTATAGTGAAAAACTTTGTTTTTACGGGTTATACTTGTTAAGAATCAGATGATTTATTTATACTGGAGGAATCCAATGAGCTATGAAGCTCTTTTCATACATGTCCATGGATCGTCTGTGACACATTAAGAAACATCTCTCACTGTTTCAACTGCCGTGCCGGGAGAGCGAGTCGAACCGGTGACCTCTGGCTTGCCAGCCTGGTGTGCTGACGATCACACCACAGGCAGCACCACATGGCAGAGGTCGCAACCGGGTACCCGATACCCGCACCCTACCCGATACCCGGCTACCCGTACCCAGCTGGGTACGGGTACCCGTTTGCGACCCTGGTGCGGCCGGGTACGGGTAGCCGGGTATCGGGTAGGGTACGGGTAGGCCGTAAGTCACTGGTGAGTAACCGTTTGTCACTCATTTCCCAACGTCTTGTCTCTTCTCACAATTCAAGTTCCTAGAATCAATCCACCTGCGCCTGCAACATGGCTTCATCCTAGAGGTCGCAACCGGGTACCCGATACCCGTACCCTACCCGATACCCAGCTACCCGTATCCGGCATCGGGTAGGGTACGGGTAGCCGTTTGCGACCCTGGTGCGGCCGGGTACGGGTAAGGAATCAAAACCCGTTTGCGACCTCTGCCACATGGATTGTGAAATATATTATTGACTAGCTTTAACTACCCGGCTTTGCCCGAGACTTGTATTCTCGTCTTGATTAATACACGGCCTACGCGGAGGGTGGGGGGGGGGTGACGTCAGCAGGCACACTGCGTGACGTCAGCAGGCACACTGCGTGACGTCAGCAGGCACACTGCGTGACGTCAGCAGGCACACTGCGTGACGTCAGCAGGCACACTGCGTGACGTCAGCAGGCACACTGCGTGACGTCAGCAGGCACACAGCGTGACGTCAGCAGGCACACAGCGTGACGTCAGCAGGCACACAGCGTGACGTCACAGGCACACAGCGTGACGTCACAGGCACACAGCGTGACGTCACAGGCACACTGCGTGACGTCACAGGCACACTGCGTGACGTCACAGGCACACTGTGTGACGTCACAGGCACACTGCGTGACGCTGCTGCATGTGGGTGACACAGATGTGACGTCACCGCTCACTTGCCGTGCAAAATGTATCCATTATTGCCCCCCCCCCCCTAATATAAAAGTCTATTTTTATACTTTCTGCATTGTGTACAGTCTGGAAACTACCCACATGCCAAATTTCAAGTGTGTTGCATGCTGGGAAGTACGCTAAACATTTCCAACAGACACACATATTCAAACATTTCCCCTTTATATTTATTAATACGTATACTGTATATTAAAAAAAGACCGGCGGCTCAGACATCAACGTTAACAACGATGTTTTTGTACAAATGCTAAAAAGTGCGCAAAGAAGTGTGAAGCGAGAAAGAGGAACACACGGGTGGCAAACTCAAGTAAAAAAAAAAGTTTGCTTGGGCAGGACAAGTCACCAGAAGGGAATGAGGCCAGAAGACAAGACCAACTACAGAGTGGGAGCCAGAGGAGGAGGAAACACGCCCGAGAGATCGGACGTCCCAAGGGTTTCCGTGTGAATCCGTCGCGGGAGGACGTACGCTCTTCTTGTCGAACGACCAGAGGTCCTGCCGGGACAGCGTCTGCTTCATCACCTCCATCGATATCTTGCCCTGCCGCACATAGTCCTTCTCCTGCAGCCGTCGCCACCGCATGGGAGATTGATTAGTACCAAGGTCGACATCGTCCAACCGGCGACGGCCTCGTCAACGATTCAACAACCCGCGCCCCTCTACCATCCCCCCCCCCCCCAGCGATCAAGATCGAGACATAATCGGGGACAGAGCTGTTTTCATTCCCCCCCCACCCCCACTTATCGTCATCAACGCACGTGACCTGCGACCGGTTCCCGCAGCTGCTGCACAGCAGAAACACCCAGCGATCTCCAAGATATGTTGGTGTCCTTCTCCCGCACCTCAAATTAGCACGGTTGGCTACGTACGGCGCGAAAGAAGTTCAACATGCATACAAACACATCTGCCGTGACCGTATCCCATCATTTGAGCTTAGAAACCCACAGAGACACCCGCAGACTAAGAGACTCGGGGAGAGCCATAGATCTGCCCGAACAGTATCTCACCATCTGCTCTTAGAAACCCACAGAGACACCTGCTGACTAAGAAACTCAGGGAGAGCCATAGATCTGCCCGAACAGTATCTCACCATCTGCTCTTAGAAACCCACAGAGACACCTGCAGACTAAGAAACTCAGGGAGAGCCATAGATCTGCCCTAACAGTATCTCACCATCTGCTCTTAGAAACCCACAGAGACACCTGCAGACTAAGAAACTCAGGGAGAGCCATAGATCTGCCCGAACAGTATCTCACCATCTGCTTTTAGAAACCCACAGAGACACCTGCAGACTAAGAAACTCAGGGAGAGCCATAGATCTGCCCGAACAGTATCTCACCATCTGCTCTTAGAAACCCACAGAGACACCTGCAGACTAAGAAACTCAGGGAGAGCCATAGATCTGCCCGAACAGTATCTCACCATCTGCTCTTAGAAACCCACAGAGACACCTGCAGACTAAGAAACTCAGGGAGAGCCATAGATCTGCCCTAACAGTATCTCACCATCTGCTCTTAGAAACCCACAGAGACACCTGCAGACTAAGAAACTCAGGGAGAGCCATAGATCTGCCCGAACAGTATCTCACCATCTGCTCTTAGAAACCCACAGAGACACCTGCAGACTAAGAAACTCAGGGAGAGCCATAGATCTGCCCTAACAGTATCTCACCATCTGCTCTTAGAAACCCACAGAGACACCTGCAGACTAAGAAACTCAGGGAGAGCCATAGATCTGCCCTAACAGTATCTCACCATCTGCTCTTAGAAACCCACAGAGACACCTGCAGACTAAGAAACTCAGGGAGAGCCATAGATCTGCCCTAACAGTATCTCACCATCTGCTCTTAGAAACCCACAGAGACACCTGCAGACTAAGAAACTCAGGGAGAGCCATAGATCTGCCCGAACAGTATCTCACCATCTGCTCTTAGAAACCCACAGAGACACCTGCAGACTAAGAAACTCAGGGAGAGCCATAGATCTGCCCTAACAGTATCTCACCATCTGCTCTTAGAAACCCACAGAGACACTTGCAGACTAAGAAACTCGGGGAGAGCCATAGATCTGCCACCACCTCATCCGATAGCTTCCCCCTTTGGTTGCCAGACTCGTGGAGACCACTCCATTGCCCGGCTGGGGTACGCGTCGGTTTCGTCCGGCTACTCCGGTTTCCTCCTCCTAATTAATTAATGGAAATGGCCAAATATCCCAATCAAGGACCAAAAGAGATTGGGCAAATGTTGGTGCTGGTTGCAACTGCCTTTTCTCAAGCATAATTCATCATCACGCGTACTCTCGTCATCTTCACAGCAGCAGCAGCGGCGGCGGCTTTTGGCTGGCCATCGAACAAAGACGGTGGTTCTGCGGCCGTCTGGAATGCTCTTTCTACCAATATTAGGAATCCACTGGGAGCTATGCACTTCTAAATTATCTAGATTGAAAGCGAATTCCTTTATTACTGCCGTTTGTGTTCTAGTTTGTTGTTCTTTCCCCGCACCTCCGATTAGCACGGTTGGCTACGTACAGTGCGAAAGAAGTTCAACGTGCATGCAAACATTATCCGTGGCTTACCACGGCTCCGACTCATTCTCCATATCTTGACGGCAAATGAAAACTGCGTGCGCTACGAACTCGGAATCATCATAAATTACGTTCGAGGTGATTTTATCACAGACATCGCATGTAAATGCGCACAGTGGGTAAACATCATCTAGGCTAGTAAGAGCGTGCAAACGGGAGGCGCGGACGGGGGATCTCACCCGCCAGGTGAGGTTCTTCTTCGTTTCGTCTTCGTCAGAGTCGTCGTCCGAACCTGCGTCACGACGAAAAACAGAAATTGCACACAGAACACGTTTGGCAAGCTGCGAGTTTCAATTTGACTGCGTTTGACCGGCTGGAGAACTCAATCTAGGCCGGGATACACACTCATTCGCAAGAGTGATCCCGGGCTCGTCAAAATGACAAAGGCGAGAACGTAAAACAAAATAAAGCAATGACGCGAACAGAAAATCGGAGAAAACTTAAAAAACAACCAAATATGTAAGCGTGTATATTGAACTTCTTTCACACCGTACGTTAGCCAACCGTGCTAAATCGGAGGTGCGGGGGGGGGGGCAGGGCATGGACAACAAAATTAACAAAAATAAATTCTAAATTAACGAGTTCTCAATATAGAAAACATCGCAGACAGCCACAATAAACGTGGTGCATTGTGGGAGCCGGCACAACCGGCTACGTGGTGGGTTACGAGAATGAGAGTTGGGAGTACCTTGCATGCCAGGTCCTGCGGGTAGTGGTGGTGGTTTGGGGGGGGGGTCATTTGGAGTATTCGGGGGGGGGGGGCAGCTCACCAGCCAAGGAGGAAGGAGGAGAGTAGAAGTGAGGATCTGAGAGAGGGCGGGGGTAGATCAGGGGTGCTTGGCCTGAACCACTCAGTTGGGATTGTAGTTGCCCTGCAAACAGCACACACAGTACACACGTGGTGCACACACACAGTACACATGCAATACACAAGGTCCTGCGCATGCACAGCACACACAGTACACATGCAATACACAAGGTCCCGCACGCACAGCACACACCATACACATGATGCACGCACACGGTACACATGCAAAAACACATGGTCTGCACGCACAGCACTAATGCAATACACATGGTTCACACACACGGTACACATGCAATACACAAGGTCCTGCGCACACACACACACGCAGTTACACATGGTGCATGCACACAGTACACAGGTCGCCATCTCCTGGCTTGCCAGGGTACTGTGGTACAGCAAAGTGGATTAACTTGAATCTGTACGGAGATCGAGCGTCTACCCCCCCACGCCCCCCTTGCACACTGCGAGGTTTTATCCGGTTTTCCTCCCACACGTCCAAACACTCGTTAAGGGAGTTAGCCAAACATCCCAAAAACATAGGATCACGGAGCTTGGGCAATTTATTTGTAGCACCGCTTTCTGGCTATCTTGCCGCTCATTACTTCCCCGCCGCACGAAAAGAACAGCGCCCGTCGCAGATTCTACGGCGCTTTTAAATTCGCTTCGCGCAAAAGTCGCCGTACATAAACAATTAAACATTATTAAAAATCCAAACTTTGTGCGCTACGCGGCGTAACGATATCTCACGGGCGCAAGCGTCCGGGGGATTAGGTTCTCGGAGGGAGGAGGCGGCGGCGGCTGTCACTTTGTGGACACGTTGCCGTCCCGTCTTGACGCGCAAACTCCGGCGACAAACTGCGGACCCTCTAAACAATGGCGCCACCAACCCCGCCCCCCGCGGTCACCCATCGCGAAACGTGGAGCAAAGGAAATCAGTCGAGACGCCGGTGTATGGCAGCGAGAGCAGTCTATCCATAATCGAGGTTTTTTTTTGGGTTAGATCGCGTAAATATACAAATGTGTCGTTAAACCCGCCACCACCCGACACAGCCAACGAGTAAGGGTTGTCACGTAAACAGAACGTGGCCAATTCGTCACTGGTACAGCACCACCGGTGTGTTGGAGAGCAAAGCCGCAATATATACACAAATCCGAGTACGACGTTTCGCCAGTAATTACTACTAGCTTCATCAGGAGAGAGCCAGATTTGTGGAGAAATCCTCCTATGTAGAGAAATCCTCCTGTTTATATACGTGGAGAAATCCTCCCGTTTATATATTTACACGATCTAACAAAAAAAACCTGTATTACGGATATTGATCGCTAAAGTCAACGTGTTAAAGAGCAGTTCATGCGAACGCTGCCGCAGCAAGACAGACATGGCACGGTCAGCCACAGTCCGCGAGCGATGAACGAACGAAAACGTCCCGGTGGGGATCGCCGGCGCGACTCACTGTTCTCCTCCTTGATCTCCTGCGGCAGAACCTTGAAGTCCACGAACCAGGTCTCGACCCACACGAGGATGAACGACACAATGGGAATCACGTAGCCCAGGGCGCCCTGCTTCAGCAGCTGCACACTCGATCCGGCGTCGCAACTCGTGTTACCGTCGCCGTCGCCGCCGCCGCGTACGTTTTTCGCATTTGCACCACGCGGTTCTCCCCGATCGCGGTTTTTCGGGCTGTTGGCGGCAGCCCGACGTTTCGATCCGCGCGAGGAATTACATACACACTGGTTTCATGCTTTAAGTTTTACCCACCCAGCAACATAGCAAGGGGCTGTTTCTTCCTGACCTCCTTTTCTGCTTCTACCATCTACATAACAAAGGCTCAGTCCCATTAGCAGCAGCCGCACCTTAACAACTCTGGCACCTCCCAGCTCAACCAGTCTACACAACAAAGGCAGCAGCCTCAGCCGCACCAACCTTACCATAATAATAAAAAAACTCCGATCCAGGGGCCTACCCTGGCTCCTCCCCCCTCAACGAGTATATATACAAAGTCGGGTCTCTTAGAATTTCTCTTAACTTGATACAGCAAGCGTGCTGTGACGGTTCCACCTGAAGATGGAAACTTGTGTTGCCTCCGAAACGTCGCGATTTTTTATTTTACTTTAATTAATTTAAATTTTATTTTTTATCTACGTGACTTTACCGAAAAAACCTAAGAGTATGAATCCTTGCAGTCACGAAAACTTAAATTCTAGAATCAAATGACATTCGTCAATAATGATGTGGGCCTTAAAAAGGGAAAAAAATATCAGATGCGACGTTTTGGGTAATGGCTCAACACGTGTGCTATGAAGAACGCAAAACTCAACATCTCATCAGTGCCCGACCTTATTACAGACCAATTCAGACATTAATAATGGTCACCCCAACGCCTTAGAAATCTCAACGTTCATCCTACAAAGCGAGAAACACAAATAGACAACAACATTGTTTTGCCCGTATCGAAACGGCTGTACGCTGTATGGGATGTGAAAATTGTATTTCCCATGTACAAGAACACGGCTAAAACCGTATGGGTTGACAGGTATGAGAAGAATTCGGCCAAGAAAGGTCCGAGAGCTCTGGGGGCGCGTCAAGCGAATCGTCGGTACACACCGTGCCCAGCAACACGGAGAGAGCCACGTCCCACAGCCATATAACGTCAAAGTAGATTCTGTTTAACCGGGCGAAACTTCAAGGAGGCTTTGGCACGGGTCGGCAACCAAAATAACAACGGGAGACTTTCTTCCCCCCGAATTCGGCCGCAATACGGTGGTCCTCAATAAACACGGTCACGAAGCAGTCCTGAAAAGAGCCGCAGGTTGCAGACCCCTGGGCTAGCGAATAGCGTCGTTTGCAAGAGTGAACTGGGGAATTACATACAGCATGTACATTGATAATGGGTTTTTTACCTTTTTACCTGGCAACAAAACTGCCACCTTTTTTTTTACAAGGAGTCATGTTTGCATTGACCACAATACCTGCGGTCAGAATGCAAACAAAAAAAACACGACTCCGATTATGTATGTACTGTCCTTGAAATTGATTGGTCCACACCCGAGACAGCTTTTCTTAGAGCCTAGTCTCACATGGTGTTGGACCAGATGACGCCAAAAGGCGCACAACTCAAAGACAATGCACCATCAGAGTATGAGAGCTCGGGGTAAGCATTTACACCATTGGAACCTCCTTTGCCAGTAGCAAAATATGACAATTGGTTTTTTACCCTTTTATCTGGCAACAAAACTGACACTTTTTTTTCAATTTCAAGGACAGTGCACACATTATCAGAGCCGTGTTTATTTTTGTTTGCATTCCGACCACAGGTATTGTGGTCAATGCAAACACGACTTCTTGTAAAAAAAGGTGTCAGTTTTGTTGCCAGATAAAAGGGTAAAAAAACAATTATCATATTTTGCTACTGGCAAGGAGGTTCCAATGAAGCATGTACATTATGATGAAGAACTCCAACGATGGCGGCGACGATGAGGACAGCGTGGAGAGGCAGATGAAAAACGGGTCACACCTTTGCCAAATGCACAGCTTCCCAAAATCCAGTCCCAGCTATTCCCCCCCCCCACCTCGCCCGTGTAGGTGCAGTGGAGCTCACCTGTGAGATGATGACCTTGACGATCAGAAACGCCGACGACACGAACGTCGTTAACTGAAATGAAAGAAAACAAAACACGAGCGCGGGCGTCGATTTACGAGCGATTACAACGAGACTCGAGCTGCGCTTTGCCAGCGTTTGCCCGCTTGCAGAGGTCGCAAACGGGTTTTGATTCCTTACCCGTACCCAGCCGCACCAGGGTCGCAAATGGGTACCCGTACCCGGCCGTACCCGTACCCTACACCCGTACCCAGCCGGGTACGGGTGTAGGGTACCTGATTGCGACCTCTGGGATGAAGCCATGTTGCAGGCGTGGGTGGGTTGATTCTAGGAACTTGAATTGTGAGAAGAGACAAGACGTTGGGAAATGAGTGACAAACGGCGACTCACCAGTGACTCATGGCCTACCCATACCCGGCCGCACCAGGGTTGCAAACGAAGACCCGTACCCGGCCGGGTACCCGGGTATCGGGTAGGGTACGGGTATCGGGTAGGGTACGGGTATCGGGTAGGGTACGGGTATCGGGTACCCGGTTGCGACCTCTGCCCGCTTGTAACCGTGGGCCATCGGCAGCGCAGTGGAGTTGATGGGATGGATGCGTGGGCCACACGAGAGACCGCATCTCAGCTTGTAACGCACCGCTCTAGTGCGGTGGGACTGGAGTCGACAGCGCAACTGGATCCGGAGTGACGCGGATCAAAAGGACGGAGCAACTCACCGCCACCATCCACCAGTGCTTGAGGCGGAAGAGCGCGTAGGCCAGAAGCAGCATGGTGCATCGAACAGCCCCCAGGCACTGCTCACGGCACGGCACAAAGGCAATGTGGTGATGGCAACGCGAGGCACAACGGCAAGGCAGCGCGATGGAAATGCACGACACAACGAGTAAATTTATTCTTACATCCCCCAGGACAGACATTTGAAAATATCATAATTTTAACTTGTAATGTGCACAACAGCATTGTCTCACTCTCGTGCAGATAACTCCAGAGGCCTGAGGAACCACAGACAAGCTGGAAGGCAGCCACGCGATGAGCCGGTGCCAACAATTACCCAAGCTTTGCAGTCCTATATATATATATTCAGGCGTTATCACCCACTTAACGAGTACCCGAAGAAAACACACAAACCCGCGAGTGGGGAAACACTCCCCCGTACGGACGGAACAGGTGCGCGTCCACATTTTGCTGTGCCGCCTTATCCTGGCGAGCCAGAGTACGGATCTGCGATACCCAATGAAAGGGAGCAATTCACAAACCCTCGCTGCCTCCACACAATGCTGGATTACAGGACAAGTGCACAGCCACCACTGCCCAGATAGAGTAATAAAAACACAAAACTACTGAACACTCACAAAGATGTCAAAGAGGGAAGTCTGGTAGCTGTAGTTCACAACTTCGTTTATTAACTTGTCCTTGAGCTCCCCGTCAACCTGCGGGGGAGGTGAGAGAAACAAAAATAACGTACAGTGAAACCTTGGATTGCGAGCATAATTAGTTCCGGAAATGTGTTTGTAATCCAAAGCACTCGTATATCAGTTGTGATCACGTGACGCTCGGCAGACAAAGCGTATACACGTGCTACTCGTATTGCAAGACCTCGCTCGTTTATCAAATTAATATTTATTTAAAATTTTTGCTCGTCTTGCCAAACACTCGCAGACCAAGTTACTCACAATCCAAGGCTTTACTGTATTTAGAACTTATTTTGCACTCTACGTAGCCAAACATGCTCATTGGAGGTGCGGGGGGGGGGAAGGACGACAAATTAAACTCAAAAAGCAAACATCACCCACGCTCGTCCCAAATGATCCAACACCCCCACCGGACGCGATTACGAACCGCTGAGCGCAGCGATGGTTTTATTGTGGCCATCTCCATTAAACTGTCCCCCCCCCGTAACGTCTCATTGCGTATCGTTCGTCTTGTCTGTAACGCCTTATCTTATTTTGTGACACGCTTTCTTTCAACTCACTGTCTGTTGTTGTTGTATCCTCAAATCTTGTAAGTCAATTTTAACCCACTTCCCAATGTGGTATCGACTGCAAACTTGGTATACTTATGTCATACTGATGACAATACTATATTTTATCATAAACAAATATATATTTTTAAACATTCTTTTTCACATGTTATGTTTCGGCTTGGGTCTAATTGTCCACGGTCAACGGACGTTGGCTGTAAATTGGCCACGGCCCCTTTCTTTATGGTAAGCTTCGGGGCCACTTCCTGGAGTCGTGGAGTTCTTCCATTGCTAGTACGGTACATTTCATAAAAGCGTGTTCTGTCTAAACTCAACAATACGATTTTTATTTTACTATCCAAGGCCCACTGAGTTAGATGGCCCTTTTCAGAAGTGACCTGGCTATCACAAATTACAGCTCAACATCACGTGGAAATTTATAGCAGCCAAATACTCTAAACGAGCGATGTTGATTTTCCTCTACACGTCTACACGTCCCGTCTGTACCGTCTCCTCCACACAGTCCCGTCTGTACCGTCTCCTTTTCACAGTCCCCCTACACCATCCCATCTCGTTCTGCCTCGTGTCAGCAGGCAACCGAGAATCCTTACGTTGAGCTCCGTGAGCCACAGGAGCCCGACGAAGAGGAAGTCAAAGGTCACGAAGAGGCAGAACGTCCGCCGGACATCCGAGATCTTCTTGTTCTCGGGCCGCGGCGTCGAATCGGCCGAGCCAACGAGGTAGGAAGAGTTGAGGCTGGACTCCGTCCAGTCCATGGTGGGGACACGGTGGGGGTGGACTTTGGACGAAGATGGCTGGGGTGCAACGGACGCCGCTCGGTGCCGGACCGGCGAGAGGTGGGCCCAGTCGCAGACTCGCACAGACTCGCACAGACTCGCACAGACTCGCACAGACTCGCACAGACTCGCACAGACTCGCACGGACTCGCACGGACTCGCACGGACTCGCACGGACTCGCACAGACTCGCACGGACTCGCACGGACTGGCACGGACTCGCACCGACGCACACCACGCACGTTTCTTGGCCCCCTTGCTCCCGTCACATTCTGGAACCTGTAACGAGCAGAGCCGAGAGATGCTGGGTCAGGACGAGACGGTACAAACGAGACAGAACAAATGAGAAAGGCCGCGGACAGGAGACGAACAGGGCAGTACAAATTTGACAGAAAGAAAAAAAACAACATTCAATGAGCCAGTACAAACGTGCCAGTAGAAAGCAGACAGACAAAAACAAGACGGAATGAGGTAGGCAAAACCAAACGAGAAACTAGACATAAACGAGACCGCACATAACGAGGCAGCACACGCAAACATTTAAATCGTGACGATTCAGCACCTCAAATGGGGCGGGAGGGGTAAAACAGAAGGGTGCCACTAAATATACATGTCCAAGAATGTAAGTTCTGTATGCAGGTGTATTACGGGGAGCTGTGGTGCAGTGGTGAGTGCACTGCGCCACAAACGCGGCGGCCCAAGTTCGATTCTAGCTCATGGCCAATATTGGTGAATATCCGATCCGGTCCTGGCTCTCCCCTAGGTTGACTCCGGGTTAAACGAGTACCTGATGCGATGTGTAAACGTCAGCAATGGGGAGGCAAATGCGAAAGGGCGTGGCGTGGGCCACCCAACTCCTCGTGTGCCGTGTTGGCCTTCATAGGTGCTCGCTAACAACACTTGCCCCAACAATCTGTTAAGGCTATGGGAGGGGGGGGGGGTCTTTGTCTTAGGCTGCCACTCAATACGGGACATAGAAAACTGAAACTTCACTTTTCTGGGATCACATCCTCCTCTCAATTTGTTAACTTTCGGTGTAATAGTCAACAGCTCATTTTACTCTGTTCATATTTACAGGATGCTCCGGTTACACTCCTCCTATCCTCTGCATCTATGCCTCTTTACCACGACTCTACGTATTGACTGGAATGCATTTCTCAACTCCGTCAACTAACCGGCAAATACTGAGGGATTGTCTTTTAAATTCGAAGCGTCTTCAGTTTAACAGGAAAATGAATACAACCGACGAGGCACGACCTTGAAAATAACAAACCTTCATTTTGCGCGGCACCACAGCGAATAGTTACGCGTTACATTGGTACTAAACGGCGAATGGGTACTGCCAGTAGGATGAACGATGACTGAAGATGCATAATCGCAGAGCAATTTTTTTATCCCAAAGATTTGACTGTATACACGTGGCTAAGAAAAATCCAGCCTTCAGCCGATTTACCAGAATGACCCACTAAGGACCTTAGTTTAAACCCAAAAAAAACAGGCAACAGCAGAGAATAAATCATAACATTGCAGACACCAAGTGGCCAACACATTTGGCAAAAACTCGCATTCAAGTCATGCACAGCTCAAGACACACTGGCAGGTGACACAGAAACATAAACTAGCGCAGACTTCATCCTCTTGGTTCTTTCGGTAAAGTCACGTAGAAGGGAAATAATAAAATAATAAAAATAAAACATAATAAAATACAATTCTCACGACGTTTCGGCCACAACGCAAGCAGCCGTCCTCTGACAGACCTGTTCTTCACCTGAGGACGGCTGCTTGCGTTGTGGCCGAAACGTCGTGAGAATTGTATTTTATAATGTTTTATTTATTTATTTGTATATTTTTTTTATTTCCCTTCTACGTGACTTTACTGAAAGAACCAAGAAGATGAATCCCTGCAGTCACGAAAGCTTCATATCGAAATTTAGCGCAGACTTCGTTAACCACCTGTGCAAGAAAAGGGATTACGTTTTTTTTAAAGGCCACGGAGGGGTGGCGAGATGTTAACCGCCTCGCCTGATATACAGGAGGGCGTGGGTTCAATCCCAAGCTTGACACCTGTAAAGCACGTGGAGTTTGCGTGTTCTCCCCGTGATCGCGTGGATTTTTCTCTGGGTTCCCCCGGTGTTTCCCTCCACATTTAGAATAGTGCGTTTAGAGTATTTCAGTTTAACACGTAGGCTTTCGCGACCAATGTTGTTCATAATCAACGATTTTTGGGTTTAGATCGCGTTTATTTATAAATGTGTCGTAACCCTCCACCACCCGACACGGCCAATCAGTAAAAATGTGTCACGTTGACAAAGACAAATAGTTCACTGCTTTAGCCCACCGGTGTGTTGAAGCAACAACATTTAGAGTATTTCGCTGCTATAAACCCGAACGAACCGGTTCATTTGTGGCCAAATCGCTTCTGAAAAAGAGATGTATGGCTCAGTGGGCCGTACCTGGTAAAATAAGTAATATTTAAAAAATATTTTTAAAAAACACGCTTTAATTAAATGTGCCGTACGAGTGATGTAAGAACTCCACGACTCCAAGAAGTGGCCCCGAAGCTTGCCATAACGTAAGGAACCGTGGTGATTTACAACCAACGTCAGTTGAGCGTGGACAATTAGACCCAAGCCGGAAGGTAACATATAAAAAATGTTTTCAAATATGTTTTTTATTTTTTATGATAGAATATAGTATTGTCATCAGTATGACATAAGTATACCAAGTTTGCAGTCGATACCACATTGGGAAGTGGGTTAAATTTGAGTTACAAGATTTGAGGATACAACAACAACAGACAAGAGTGAGTTAAATAAAAGCGTGTAATAAAAAAACAGTAATCTTGATTTGAAGCGTTCGTGACTGTAGTTGTAAGGCAACGTTTCAGGCAATGACCCTTCATCACAAACATAAGAGGTCACAACGCTTCTCGTTCTGCTCCTTTCCTGGCATTGTTCCACTTGGGAGTTTCCCTCCACTCTGTCCCAAGTCCTGACAACATGGCTCAATTCAAGAAACCTTTAATCCTGATCCATCGCAACTTTGACGGTGCCATTTGTTACCGGCCGCCTGGCGTTGCGCGCATTTTGGGTCTGTGCTCGGCAACAGTTGACGATTGACGAATGTGCGGAGCTTTCTTCTTTACAAATTAAAAAAAAGCGGTTTCTAATGGTCTTATTCTTGGTTCTTTCGGCAAAGTCACGTAGAACAAAAAAAATTCTTATTTTATTATTTCCCTTCTACGTGACTTTACGGAAAGAACCAAGAATATGAATAGTAGTAGGGTTTTACCCTTTAAACTGGTACAAAAACTGACACCTTTATACAACAAGGCATCATGTTTTTAGGTGTCAGTTTTTGTACCAGTTTAAATGGTAAAAACTTACTACTATATTTTGCCACTGGTAAAAGAATATGAATCCCTGCAGTCACGAAAGCTTTAAATTCAAATCTAATGGTCTTGTTTAGGGTACGAGTCTGCATTCCCGAGGTCGCATTCCGGTTCACTCTCACAGTTAAAAATACCTGGAGCTCGGACGAGATTGTTGTGCGAAAAATCTTCTCGCAGACGCAGTACGTGTGGAATTCCTGAGTGAAGGTTTGAAACCTTTCCAACAGATGCTCCACGGGTTATTTGGCAGGAGCGCACGGGAGCCACGTACTGCGATGAAAACGGCAGTGTCTGCGTCAAAAAATTGGGACGGAAATTTCCGTAACAAAAAACGCTCGCGAAATCGGGCTCCGAAGCGAATTCTAAAGGAAGACTCTAACCGGATTTTAATTATTTGGTATTGCGGCTGCCACTGGTAGTGATGTACAAGTGTAAATGACAAAGACACGTCACACATTCATCAATAACAGTGTGTGGGCCTTTAAAGGGAAATAATAGATGACGTTTCAGGCAAAAGCCATTATTTAAAGCACAAATGACCAGATAATAGCTCTGATCCAATCTTACCAAACACTAGTCCCACCCCTAATGTTAACAAGCTTGCAAACTTGTCTGAGCCTAACCAGCAGTCCAACCCATAACCGTAGAAGCCACGTAACCGTAAACCTACACTCACCCTAACCAAATAGCAAACCAAACAGTCGGTTCTAGCATGGACCAAAATAAAGCTACCCCTAACACCGACAAACTAGCCAAACACAAGCACTAACCGTAACAAAAATAACCATCAAAACCTTCATACGAACCCAACCCTTAACAAACTTGCTAGCCAGACTAGCCATAACCCTAACAAACGAACAAGCCAGCTGATATCATGAGCCCAGCAGTGTAGAACCCATGGGTCATATCCTCCTAACCCTTTGGGGGGGGGGAGGGGCATGCTGTAGCATATATATACAGTGAGGGAAAAAGTAATTGATCCCCTGCTGATTTTGTACGTTTGCCCACTGACAAAGAAATGATCAGTCTATCATTTTAATAGTAGGTTTATTTGAACAATGAGAGACAGACTAACGACAACAACATCCAGAAAAACGCATGTCAAAAATGTTATAAATTGATTTGCATTTTAAATGAGGGAAATAAGTAGGGGATCAAATACTTTTTTCCCTCACTATACCTTGCAGGACACATTTTGAACGTGCATGGGGAACGTTAGCGCTGAAACAAATGCCATACCAACTTGCACAAAACACATCAATGCACAACGTGAAACAACATCGTGTTGACTGGAGGCGTGGTGGACATGTGATCTCTATGTACTGTGGAACTTGGGGGGGTGGGGGGGCGCGAGGGGAATAGTGGTCTTACGTCGGGGGTCGCCATGTGTCACTGCACTATCCATACGCCATATCTTATCAAATCGGACCGTAGCCCGACTAACCTCTAACCCGAGCCAACCGGTCAACATGACTGTCTATTAATTCTAGATTTGAAGCTTTCGTGACTGCAAGGATTCATATTCTTAGGTTTTTTCGGTAAAGTCACGTAGGTAAAAAATTAAAATAAATAAAAGTAAAATAAAAAATTAAATTAAAATCACGACGTTTCGGAGGCAACACAAGCTTCCGTCTTCAGGTGGAACCGTCACAGCACGACGTTCCACCTCTCACTTGATACAGCAGTCGTGCTGTGACGGTTGCACCTGAAGACGGAAGCTTGTGTTGCCTCCGAAACGTCGTGATTTTTATTTTATTTTTTATTTTACTTTTATTAATTTAAATGTTTTACCTACGTGACTTTACCGAAAAAACCTAAGAATATGACTGTCTATACCCGACCACCTCGCCCCCCTCCAGACCCCAAAACCCCCCTGCCCGTTTCCATTGCTGTGCTTCCCTTTTTGTTTTCGGTTTGCATTTTGGATTTGCCCCAGCCACCCTTTGAGTGTGGGTGTGAAATCGCCGAGTGGCTGTCTCTGCAGGGTCGGGGGAGATCTTGTGACCACGCTCATCACAACAGCGGCGGCTTCGGGCTCTGGGGCAACAAGGGGCATTGCGGTTTGGGGCAAACGCACGCAGGGGGTGGTGGGGGGGTCAAACAAGAGGGAGAGCCAGCTGGAACAAACACCTAAATAAACAAACATTATACTGGTAGGAACCATATTCTTAGGTTTTTTCGGTAAAGTCACGTAGGTTAAAAATAAAAATTAATAAAAGTAAAATAAAAATCACGACGTTTCGGAGGCAACACAAGCTTCCGTCGTCAGGTGGAACCGTCACAGCCACGATAGCTGTATCAAGTGGAGGAACCACCTGGTTCCACCAGCCCACAGGGGATTATTGTGTCTGTCCGTCGTGCATCCAAAAATGGGAGGGGTGGGGCTGGGTGGAAAAGAGAGGGTGGGTAGGGGCTGGGTGGGGAGGGAGGGGTGGGGCTGGGTGGGAAGGGCTGGTCACCCCGTGGTGCCCTTATAAAACTCAACGTTTAACCAACTCACGCCGGCTTGTGCCCGCCCTCACAGTCGGGCATATTTGCGGAATACACCACGCCGCCGTTGACCCTGGCCATTGACCGAGCAACCCGACGTTCCTACCAGCTCCCTCCGCAGGAATGTGTTTTGGAAATGATGATGAGCTGGCATTGGTGCACGAGATGAAAAACAATAAAGAACTCCCAATGGTTACCTTGCACAGCTTTGATCGAAAATGTATATAATAAACGACGTTTTGGGCAATGGCCCTTCTTTATTTGGACAAAGAGGCCAGAGAAAGGATATACTGCTTGAAAAGTCACTTCATTTATCCTTTGAAAGCCACAGTGTTGACTTCACAAAAATACAGGATCGTGTAATGAAAATGTTGATCAGGTTACAGACTCAATTAGCGTTGCTGCCATCACTCGTCGCCCACCCTTGCCCAACCGTACGTATTTATCACCTTTAATCCCATTTATAGATCATCGACGACGGCATCTTAAGAGTTTTGAGACTCACGTTCAGGAGGGTGCCCACACATTGGGATGTTTGATCAAGTTTGTCTTTGAAAAATCGGCAACGAGAGAAATGCGCAGCGCATTTGCAAATAACCGATTGCTTGCACTCACAATTCGAATAATAATACACAATTTATAACACATGCAATATTTTTGCGAATCGGACACACTGCTAGATTGAGAACTGGGAGGCACAGAGGATACATGACAAACCTAAGAATCGATTTTAATAAGAGACTCCTTCCAGAGCGGGAAGTTCTGTACAAAGGAGGCATGTCATCAAATCGCGCACAATTCATTGTTTTACAGAAATTCATGGTTTTCATTCAACCAAGCGCTCTTATCAATAAAAAAAGAAAGTAGACAGCCCTTTGCCAATCCGTTGATGGATGAAAGTCGTCTTCGCCATTCTTTGGCGGTCACGAGGGGTTGTTGTTTAACCAATTAGAATTTCGGCAGACATATGCCGTCGAAATTCTATCTCCTGCAGAGGACTTCTCGGCACTTCACACCTCGCCCGTTGTCCTCACTGATGCCCCCCCCCCCACCCCCGCAATGCGTGCAGATACTACTGGGTTGTACCTCAAAGTTCATTAGATATTTTTATTTCACCCTCCATCCATGTCCGCAACTATCAACACTCCAAATAAATGCTCAATAAATGGAAAATTACGTATTTCTGGATAATGGATGGAACATTTTTTATGAAAAAATTATTTGATTTATCATACTGGTTCAGAAGGTTCTTATAATTTAGTTGACGGACAAACGGAACGCCGGGTTTTTTTTATAATAAAGATACTCAATTAAACACGTAGGCTTTCGTGACCAATATTATTCATAATATAGGTTTTTGGGTCAGATCGCGTTATTTCTAAATGTGTCGTAACCCTCCACCATCCGACACGGCCAAACAGTAAAAGATGTCACGTTTTCAAAGGACAAAATAATTCACTTCTTTAGCCCACCGGTGTGCTGAAGAGAGAATCAACAGCATTTTAAAATTTGAGCACGACGTTCCGCTGATAATTACAATCAGCTTCACCATTCTTGCCCGATAAAGCGGATTGTAATTATCAGCGAAACGTCGTACTCAAATTTTTAAATGCGGTTGATTCTCTCTTCAGCACACCGGTGGGCTAAAGAGGCGAGTTATTCTGTCCTTTGAAAACGTGACGTTTTTTACGGATTGGCCGTGTCGGGTGGTGGAGGGTTACGACACATTTATAAATAACGCGATCTGACCCAAAAACCTTTATTATGGTCAGTGTGAGTTGGTGATGGAGGGGCCAGTCCAGAACCAGTTCAGTTATTGCTTGCCACAGTGTTCAATTAATTCCGTACGACGGCTTTTACTGGCCTGTTGGATCCTGTCACCACACACACAAAGATACGTGACCACACAAAAAAATAGCGGATTCACATGCGCACAATTTTATGAGAATATTATGCCGGATAAAATTCTAATCAATGGACCGATTCCAGTGGGTGCGTCGTTAAATGCCTGGTGTGCAACATAATGTCACTGCGTGGCCAACGGTGTTTGGTAAACAAACACTCTTCGGGTTTTCGGTAAAGTCACGTAGGTAAAATTTTTTTTAATAAAAGATAAATAATGAAAATTATAGAAGAAATAATAGAAATAAAATAATAAATCACGACGTTTTGGAGGCAACACAAGCTTCCGTCTTCAGTTGGAACCGTCACAGCACGATTACTGTATCAAGTAAAGAGAAATCCCAAGAGACCCGACCTTGTATATATGTAGAGGTGTTACGGGAGGGCGAACAAACACACCAGGGGTGGTTATGCCCGCACGCGGAAGGATGCTTACATCCACGTCCGCATCGTTTAGCCTGGGGGGCTGAAACGGCGCTGTGATCCCCCACGGCCCCACCTCTCGGGGGGGGGGGGGGGGGGGGAGTTGCTATATAAGGCGGTGAGCCGGTGGGCTCGGGGTTCAGTGTTTTAGCTTAAGCCAGTGAAGAAGGAAGACCGGCAAGATAGGCCCTGGGACTCCCCTGGATCGCTGTCCTTCTAAGGACCGACCAGGGCAAGCCAGTGGCGTGGCCCCGAGAGCCCAGAGCCGATGTTCTTATAAGAGCCGGTCTGGTGACTAAGGGTGCCGTGATCCCAGCTTGGCCAGAGCTGGATCAGCTAGCCCCCCCTAGCTCTGTAGTAGAGGACCTGGGAGTAGGCTAGCCATGACAGAGATTGTGGGATCCCCCTGTTAGACGGGTGAAGGGGCCGATACCCCTTCGAGTGTTGTATACCTT